TGAGTTTGTGGGTTGGGGTAGGCGGGTGTGATGAGTTTGTGGGTTGGGGTAGCCGGGTTGTGTAAGTTTGTGGGTTGGGGGTAGCCAGGTGTGTTGAGTTTGTGTGTTGAGGTAGCCTGGTGTGTTGAGTTTGTCAAATTTCAAGAATGAAACAATATAAACAAAAAACAAGCTGGTCTTTATACAATGTTCTTTCTACACACTTGCAAACTTTTCTGTGGTTTGTAAATAACGAAAAACAGTCATTCAACTTTATTTGCATCAAGTTTGATTTTCCTGTTCTTTTCATTTTGCATATCCATCCAATTCTACACATCCATAAACTTTTGGAAGGGTTGACACATTGTAGGGGGTTCAGGTTGAAGCAGCAAAAATAAAGTGAGAAATCAATTGCAATAATCTTCTTATGTTTCTGGAAAAAAGTATAACTGCAAAAAACCTCACAACTTTTGTCTGTATACTTTTCTTTGTTCTACTTAGAGTTGCTCCATTGCATGGGTGCCTACAGAATTTCACCAGTTGGAGTAAGTTCCACCTTTGGCCCTTAACAGTCCTGAACCTTTCCAATTTAGAGCAGGTTTTGCATACCCTTAGGGCTAGGTTAATACTGAGATGATTTTTGTTTTACATCTGCAGTTGTGCATAGTTTTGACACTTCTGGCATATTAGCCATTTTAAAACTTTTTTGGGCTCAGAATTGCAAATGTTATGTCCTGTGGCCAAACGTAACAATGTTGTGCTCAAAGTGTCTTCAAAAATGCTTTGGGTATTGTACTGCCCTAATTTCCAATGATAAACTCTATGCTGACTGGTTTGCTTTTGCCTCCATTAAGTGGGATCACAAGATGAAAGCCTGAAATTATAATGTTAACGTTGTGTAGATGATAGGAAAATCTGGAACTTCGAAAAGTAGATACGTGTACAAGCGATTTGTTTCAATTGTATCAGGTTAATAGTCGACCGTCCGTCTGCCTGACCAACTTCCTCCTGAACGGCCGTCAGGTCATGCTGGAGCAGCCTCGCAAATCAGGCACCAAGGTCATCTCACACATGCTGGCCAGCCACGGTGGCGAGATCTTCCTGCACTGTCTGGCCACAGCTAGGTCCCCCCTCGAGGACCCTCCCTCCATCAGCGAGGGGTGCGGGGGCAGGGTCACGGACTACCGCATCAACGACTTTGGGGAGTTCATGAAGGAGAACCGGCTGGCACCGTGCCAGCCCACGCCCGAGACGGAGGAGGAGCCACCCGTTGATAGGGGTTAGTCGTAACTGGACACCTTCAGGGTCTAGACACTGTCTGTTACTTTGTGTCTCTGTTCATTACAAACATTTGTTGCTATGAATGTAGTTGTGTCTATAGTTATTGGAGTCTGTTATTAATTTCTGTTCCTGTGTAGGTTGGTTTTCCTTCCCATTTTTTTATTTGAATGATCCAGAATTTTCTTCTCCGCTTTTTCTTAAATGGGTTCTTGAATCTCAAATGCGCCACCAGGTAAAGGGTTTACCTCTTCCAAGAAGAATTTGTTCGTGACCCTTGACCCCCTTTACATCCTTCACATCACTCTAATATTCACTTTCTATAACTGCCCCACGCTTTGTTGTAGAAACATTGTTACCGTGGAGACCAGCAACACATTCCTAGGAATGCCAAGCTTGTCCGTTCATATGCAAATGGAATCCTCCTCTTCACTCCGTGTAGAGTCTTTGCTGATAAGGTTTGGCATCCTTCAAAGTCCTTCGTATGGAGGATGTCGATGAATCTGGCCGACTGGCCCAAAATTGCACTAAGAGAGCGGAGGTTGAGCTGACAGCCTCTTCTCTTTCCCCACAGCTAAAGCCCAGCTGGAACGCATGACAAGACACTGGCCCATGGTCATCAGCGATACAATCATCTTCAACATGCCATCGGTAAGGAGAAAGCTATCAACTCTTTGCCGATCACTGTAGCCAGAGACTGCTACCTCTGCAAGGCATATTTTCAGCTCAGAGGGCAAGCTTTCATTCATCTTCAGTTTCTGTTCACACACAAAAAACGAAGAGTTTCAAAATCTGAACATTGTTCAGAGCTTTAAACCTCAATATCAGTTTGTGCATGCTGTTTCAAATAAACCTGTAATGTACATGTTATAACGTCACACTTGGTTTACATGTGCACTTTCGTATTTGAGTGAGTTGGGAGGTGATCTACATATGTAAACAAAGCCTGACACCATTAAGTATATCAACAAGAATATAATATCAAATCAGTGCTCTGAAATACGTAATTGCCGAGCTTTTGGTAACTGAGTACCTTCTTCAGGGCAAGCAGTTGTCTATATTCTGATCACGGTGCTACGTAGCCCCTCCATATTTCTCGGGCGCCAACGAGTGTTAGGTCTAATGAAAGAAATAAACCAGTGCACCTTATCTCGTTTAGGACAGGTATTGGGACTGAGATACTAATGGTGTTTGCTGGTATTGCCACTCATGAGGCTAAGTCATTATTCTTCATTGAGTTCATTTCCAAACTCTCTAGCAATTCTTACCAGCAGCCTTCTTCAGTCTTCCAAAATCGTCCCCTGTGCACTAAAACTGGCACATTCTTTGTACTTAGCCTTTTGAGGAGCACCAAGTCCCTTGTGAAGTAAATTTGACTGGGCTTCACCTTCCTCAAACCGTCAGAATTCTTCGCTGCATTTTAGAGGATTGAGAAAGGTCAGGGATAAGGCATTCATCAGGGCCATCAGCAAAGTAAATGTAAAAGTGTTACACAATGGATAGTACAGGTAGAGAGAAGTTTATATGTGCACCATGTGAGGTGACCAACTAAAAAGGAAGAGGGAAAAATGAAGGACATCAGCTTGATTTTTTGGGTCCGACATCATGTGAAGAAACTGATAGCATAGTAGAGATTTCAGCGTTCTTTGAATCGTGCTTACCTTTCCCGTTGCAGCACTTGGACCCCTTACCCACCCTCATCACTAAACTTGTCCTGACAGACGATGATGTTTTGGAATGCAAGAAAGCCATGTATCATGTTGTTGGCATGGAAACGAGAAATGAGCCACTCCCAGTGCCGATGGTGGGATCACGGGGCAAGGGCCCCAAGAGGTGGGATAAGTGTCATCTGTCTGGACAGTGCGTGAACTCAAATCAATTGGCAGTTTACTCACATCAAATCAAATATTCAACCTGTCTCATTACATAACTAGTATTTTGATCTGATTATTTAAAACTCCAATTTCAGTTGTTAAGTTTTGTTAAGTATTAGCCAAATAGTTTCATTTTGATTCTGTGCTTGTTTGTCGTGATTGATGAGAACACTAGAGTTGTGTTCGACGATCCAAGTATTCAAGTCATGTGCCAGTGAAATGTTTCAAAATTTTGTCTTTTCACGCTATAACTCTACAAATTCTTAAATTCACGTGCCTTGATATTAATAATGGTCCGAGTTGAACTTTCTTTCTTATCACATAATGTTTTCTTGGAAATGGACCCCTAGATGTATTGAGATTTGAAGAATGTGAAGAGAGCATTGCAACCACTTAAGGTTGATCCAAACATTTTGCATTTCAAACCTCTAATTTTAGATTGTTTTCTCTTCAACATTTCCATGAAGTCGTAATTTTGGGGTTTTTTAGTCACCAATAACAAAGGATAGATTTGAACAAGTGTTAAGTAAATTTAAGCAAAGAACTCAGCAAGTTTTTATTGAAGTGTTGGTCTCTAATAACGTGCCAGAGATGAGCACTACCGGCAGATGTGGGCAGAGCTAGAGGTATTGGTGCGAGCCCACAGCAGCACGTCGCCAGCCCACGAGAAGATACTACAGTGCTTGCTTGACTGTCGCAAACCCCCTGGGGAGGAGGCAGGCAAGGCAGCAACCAAGAGGGCGGCAGACAAGGTCAAAGTGGAAAGGTCAGATGCAGAAGCCATGGAAATTCAACCTGCGTGGCCTGAAAGCGACAGGTAGGAAAAATGGATCTGATCCAAGATGTACTTTACGTCAGGGAGATGTTAAATTGTAATCCTTGGTTTTTGCCCTTATATGGACGTATGTTCATAACACTGTACTCTGTGCTCAGCCGAGAGAGTGCAAAAAAGTTCACAAGCTTACTTGGGTGGGACTCGAACCCAAGACCTCCTGCTTACTAGTGCAGACACCTTAACCACTCAACCACCAAGCTTGCCAGGGTCAGCTGGCAGGGCAGAGTCAGATGTAGCAGCAGGTACCACAAACAGTTCCAAGATGTACCAGCCAGCCAACCCCACCAAACTTGGTGGTTGAGTGGTTAAGACGTCTAGAGGCTAGAAGCATCTAAACACAGCACCACGAGGATCAAAACGTCTGGCCTTGTAATGTTTGCCATTTTTCTTTAGAGTGGGTCATTTTTAAGTGGGGATTTATCAGGAAGGTATTTGTCTGTTGCTCAGAAGTGGAGCAGATATCAAGCCGGACATCCACAAGGAGAATGTTAGAGGTGTCTCTGATCAACCTCCCTTGAAGAAACAGAAGATGTTTACTGGGGAAGTCATTGGCAAGCCCAAAGGTAATGACAACATGTCTTTGGTGTGAAGAGAAAATTGTAAACAGCAATGGTGTGATTTCTTAGGATCGTTCTTCATCTTGAGATTAGTGACTCCCAAGCTGTGGATTTTTAGACGTTGAGTCATTCATGTAGTGTTGCCGGTTTTGCACTTTGAATACCCCCTCAAGAACCCCTCCCCCCATAAAAGATCCATTGAGTAATGATAGCTATTTGGGGAGACCTGTTGCCTTGTCAGCCTGTAACTTCCTGGAAAGTCACAGCATTGTATTGCCATTGTTACAATTTCTCTGCTTTGTTTGGTCAAAACAGATTCATCCCCCAATTTCACCCCAGAAAGAGGAAGGCATATTGAGTGAGATGCCCTTAGCTCAGTCCTGTCCCCCTTCCCCCCTCCAAGAAAAAATCAAAGTTCAGATCTGAAAATCTGGATAGAGGGAAAGAAACTACAAACCTTGCTCTCCCTTGCAAACATCCAGACTGGACACAGTTCTCTGGTCAATATCAGTCAAGTGTTGCCTCGCCTACAACAAATACAATGAACTGGTTATGACAGCTGATAAATCTGTTCTTTGCCTTTCGAGGAGTGATAAGCCAGCTGTGTTTACAAATAGCTTGCGTTTGTCTGTAAATGGAATCTGACTGGTCACATTACCAACCAGAATTTTGATTTGTGTGTAAAGTGTATCAGGGGAAGTGAATGGACATTTGACTGTCTGTGAAAGTTGCAACTGAAGGCGAGTTAAACCAGTCAAACTCCCAATTTTCTCACTGAGCAGGTATACCATTACCACGTCTCCATGGAGTTGCAAAGTGAATTTGTCATGCTCACAATTATGTGGATAAAAGGCAATAGCACGAGAACCAGCACATGAACCAACAATGCACATGTACTTCGTTTGTTTGCGCTACACTTTCTGGTTCACAGTGACGTCACGTTAGGTACTCCGTAGACCTAGCTAACAAAAATTGCCATCTCTTATCGACAGCTGGACCTCAGTCACTGCTGTCGCTCTGGAACAATCGCATCAACTCCATCCACTCCAAGAGGCACGCCGAGTTTGCAGGAAGGCAGGAGGCAACGGGCAAGGTGGCAGAGCTCTACCCCAACCTGATGAGGGAAGAAAAGGAGAGGTGAGATCCTTAGAATTTCTCTTCAATCGGCGGTGAACACCTTCCAGTGACTACAGTGGTTAAGCCAAAGGTTGATGAATTAGCCAGGAGGACAACCTGGTTGTTAGACTGGGTAGAGATGACTGTTTGGAACCAGTCATCAAGATACATAGCTGCATTATTGTCACGCTTGTCACCATGTCAGCATGGAGTATGACCTTAGTGGTTTGGGATTTCATTTGAGTCTAGTTTGAGTGAAGACATGCCCATGTAAATCTGCAATACATGTAGCTATTCCTAGCTATAAGCTAATTTTATCTTTACAAATTGAAAAACACTGTACCAAGTTTTGCTTGAAATATCTTCTTTTTTTCCTAAATTCCCAGTCGCTTGCCTCTGCGAGCATTGTGGTGCAAAATGTGTCATGAATTGAGCAGTAGTTAGAAATGATCCTAAGTGAACTTACCCAATGTGATGGTTCACATTTTGTAGCAGTACACAAGGAGGGCATTTAATAAGTCAAAAGAGGGCATTTAGAACCCTCTGAGGAAGCTAAAGGATCAAAGGATCTTACATTACACAGCATCCCGTGTACTCTTTCATTTCAGAATCCAATGGGATTGTTTTTCCTTTATTTATTGCAGCACTAACGGGGAAGTCAAGAAAGAGAGGACAACGTGACATCAAGGAGACGTGACTTAGGGATTAGGGATAACAGGTGTAGGAACATTAGGGGCAAGACGTTTGAAGTCCCATTCTGATTTCTGAAATTTCACTGTTACACCTTCCTCACAACGTAAGAGGGCTCTCATCAAAGAGGGGCTTGAGTCAGACCACTGGTATCTTGCATAAAGATGCAAAACACCCTTACACGTCCCGGCTATATGTGACAAAACACTCGTCAGTTCCTCACTATTGCCAGAGAAGAAAGAGTTATTTGCAATGCAGAAAAACCTCCCGAACAACCTAATGGACATTGTGACCTGTGACCTTTTGCCCTTTGGCATATTCAAAATAGCTTGCTTTGACTCATCTGCTTCACTGTGATCACATCCATACCGTACAATTTATTCATGAATACCCGGGACATTTTTTCTACTCTCACTGATCAAAATGCGTCACGTGACCATGTATTAACATTTGATAATGCCCGCTGCAATTTGATAATGCCTGCTACGTAAAATCCATTCTGATTGGTCAAGAGTCTCTGTGCACGCAGCACATTGAACTCACCACGCACGCTCCAAATCCATGTAAGGAGATACTTCTGGACTACTTGCATAAGGAATATACCATCAAATGGACGGGGGTGTTCAGTGAAATAAAAGTAAAAGTTTTGAGTAAAATCCTTGGAAATTTACCATATAGTGATTTCCTTTGACGCTCTGACTACAGTGGTATTTATGAATGGGAATAAATAATATGCTTGCAATTGGTTGATCTTTAACTAACATTCAAGTCCGGCTCAGGGGAATGGTTGTGACTGATGCCCGAGCAGCAGGCTCCTGAGTAAAATGCATGTTTAAGACTGGCCAAGTACATATTTATTTCCTTATTTTATATCATGTGTATTGATATTTCTAGTGATAAACATTCGGTTGATATGCTTTTACAAAGGGGAGGCGAATGTCATGTGACTAAACTACATGATTTTTGTAAAGACTTGGCACATGATCTTTTTATCGGATTCAAGATGCACGGACAAATCTCTTCAGAGTAGTAAGTCAACACTAGCTTCAGAAAGAGGAGACTTATTTTCAGATCGTTTAAGAGCAATGTTTTGTAATATTGTAAATATGAAATAAAAGGACTTTTACTCATGCTAAAAAAACTGGTGCACGTTGCCGTGTTCATGCAGTGTCCTTGAGCTTCTGGTACCCAGTTTGGTTGGGTAGTTAATTGCAGATGGAGATGAGGTATGAACCCTGTCAAGGATAAATGATTTAAGTCATTCAAAAGCAGGGACTGAGACACACATTTGCACTACGAAAGACCTATGAACTGATGACTTCACAGTGTGACCTGCTCTACAAAAACTAGTCACATGTCAGAGTTGAAGGCCTTGAAAGAATTTTGCAGTGTTTAAGCGATAGGAATCGACATTTTAACATCTACACAACATCCATGTTCATCATAGCAAACTGAGTGACACAACACAGCTCAAATTCCTCAATTTAATACAAAGTAAAACTTGAAAGTGGCTCCGGTGACTTGTGATACATTTTTACAAGAGTGGGTCACATATACAGTTTCCTATTGACTTCCAATCCTATAGTTCACGGACATACTGGGGCATTAGAAAAGTTAGGTTGTGTCTGCATCTCAAAGAACTTGCTTGCCTATGGCAGTGGCTAGCTAGTGGCTTCATACATTCCAACAGATGTGTACTATTTCCAGCAGTTGTCAAGCAATTCTGATAGTACTTCAGTCTCCCTATTCAGCGACATGCAACTTGACTGTGTATTAACATTTGATAATGCCCGCTGAGAAGTTATAATGCCCGCTGTGTAAATCACATGCTGGCACCTGGGTGTGAGACAGTTGAATTGATTCTGATCATTCAAGAGTCAGTGTGCAAGCGGCTTGCCACACATGCACTAAGTCTAAATAAGGAGATTATTTGGACAAGGAATATTCCATAAAATGGACGGGTGTTCGGGAAAATGAAATTAAAATTCCAGAATAAAAATCATTGGAAGTCCATCATGTGTTGACCGTTTTGACGCTCTTGACGACAAAGGTAGTTATAATGGGAATACATACAGAAAGTGAACACTGACGATACCTTGCCTGTGGCCTGGGCATTAATCATGTCCATTCTCCTGACGCGGTCTTAAACACACGTTTGACACAGGCCAGTGCGGTCAAGCTCATATTGATTCCCCTGTTCATATTTCATTTCTTAATATTTCATGACAAGTCATTGGATTTAGACAGTCAACTATCTACCCTCTGCCAGATAATGAAACCAAGTGAGACTCGCTTTCCCCAAATTTCACACTGACATTTATTACACGTTCCCTCATAAAATCACAAATGCATGCAAACTGTTGCTATCTGGGTAAAAAAAATAAAATGAGCTGAGTAACAAGAGAATAAATGATAAAAATCTATGCAAATGTTGAACACTAAAGGGGCTATACTTTTCCAGTACTGATAATTCATACAAAATATAACCAAAATTGCTCCGACAAATTACATATAAAGCCGTGAAAAAATACAAAAACTGTGAATATATATGTATGTTAAAAATAATTTGGCAAATCATCTGACATCAGCAAAGTGTCCTTAAGTAAGTTATTGATTACAATGGGGGCTTTCCCTTTTCATGTATTCATTCCCGAGTACCATCCTGCCCCTAAGGCAGTTTTGTTCTGTTTTGAATGCTAGGGCCGTTTTCCAATACTCAACTTTGGCTCCGTCTCAGGCTTCACCTGTTTTTAACTAGCCGACTTTGAAGCTGTAAGCGCAGTAATTAGTTTAATAGTGCCACAAAACATCAAATAAGATGCAAGAGAGCCAGAAATTACAGTAATCCAATTTAATTTAAGCGCTTCAGGCGTTTAAATTAAATTTCAGCTTCAGTTGTGATCATGAGTACATGAACTGTTTTAAGATATGGCAGCAGGAGAAGAGGAATGCTTTTGGTTTGGGCAAGCTCTTTTGCATTTCACCAAACCAACCAAAAAGGGATTACAAAATGTTTTTGTCAAGAACAACATGGCTTAACCAGCGTAACATTGCTTGTTGCTGGCAGCTAGGCAAGTCTCAAAGTTATTCCAGGCCTTAAAATGTTTTTGCTTCAAATACTTAGCAAGTAGTTAGATCTGGAGAATAATTTAGTTTGCTTCAAATATATATACGTATACATATTTAGAATGTTACTTCTTCAAAGTATTCCATTGCATCAGACACCAAATATTGAGTCATTAATCCTCTAAGTTAAATATACACCTTACACAATATAGAAACCCTCTGGGTAAACATGAGTTCTTCAATTTATACACTTGAAGTCCAATTTGTAATATAAACTGAACAGTACACAGCCTAAAATTACACACAATCTTGTCCTTATGTACAAATCTTTTGCTTTGTCATAATGGCCTTGCACCCATTCAGATACCTTTTTAAATTTCCTTAAACTCTAGAAATCCAATTTTATTCCATGACCAACACCTTCTGCAAAGCAACTTGAAGTCTTCAAACTAGAGATTACTCATAGTATCTCGTCTGTTTTCCAATACCTACTCTTCACTGCTGTCAGTTAAAGTTTAGAGCATTTCATCACCTGTTCATCAAGTACTAACAAACACTAAGTAGGATGTCTTTTTCTTTTTACTTAAAAACCCAACGACACAATCATACTTTCAAAGCATGCTAAATGACTGTTCCAGTGGACAATTGTCATTATTGATACACATATTTTCATAGATCACGTTACTGAATGATTCCCATTCAAGAGATCTAAAGACACCAATTTATACCCTAATTTAAAATGGAAACTTTTGGTACTTTCCTTTTTCCCCCAATACACCAAATTCTGCACCTGAAACACAGGCCCTATAAGACTGATTTTTGGAACATTTCCCTTTTATGTAAGCGCTTCAAAGCAGTACAACTACTTTTCCTAACTTTGCAGATGAAGTGGCAATAAAGACAAAAATAAAAGAAGTTCACAACCTGCAATTACAACTGTGACATTTACGGTTGTATTAATCTCTTGGGAGACTTTTATATAATCAGAAAAAATGTACATGTTAAAGCTTAATCAATATTTTGCACTCATAATCTTAATGAGTAAAATGTCTAAATTTGAGTTCAAATCCTTTCAGATCAATGTTGCTACAGTAAAAAATCACAGAACACTGCATACACTCAAGTTGAACTTTAAAAATTGTGGTACATTCAATTTTGCAAGACACGTTCCTGCTAAAAACATGCATACAAGTAGTTTTAAAACACCTGTACTGTCAGCAATATAGGCCGAGTTTAATTAAATCCATTGTGATGTTTATATACTTGTTAAATGCATACAAAAGTCATGACGTAACTCAATAACTTTTCCTTTCAAGCAAATGTTTATTTTTTTTGTCTGCTACGCAGAAAACAAATTTCAAATTTGTTCATAGGTTGAAAATGAAAATAAAAAAGCAAAACTATCTATCAACAATGTACAGTCTCCAAACCGGAGCAGGAAAACTTGAGAATTTTATCCATTTATTTACTGTCACATTACAAAACACTGTTTGAACGTTACAGCCTCTGTGTAGCTTCCAAAGGTATGAACTTTGCTTATGCTTCTGTGTAAACTCTCTCACATGCATACTTATGCAGTAAACGAGACACACATCTTTGAGTTTGTTTCTGCATTCAATTGGGGACCCTGAACAATAGAGGACAATAAGGTCCCCGATTGACAGAGGGTCCCCGATTGACAATTGTGTACAAAACATACGGGTGGTCTTGTAAAAAAGTTGAAGTACAAACCAAAGAGGAACAATAGGGGGTCCCCAGTTGCAGGCAAATACACACTTGGGTGCATGGCCATCATTGTATATACCACCTAATCTAAGCCAGATGACACCAATGAAACTCTGTCAGATTTGGCATGTTCCGGTGATAGAATTTCTAAAAAACTGGAAGTGTGTGACAAGTAACTATTGATATTGAAATGCCCAGATTTTGATGATAAGATGCTGAATATCAATTTCTGCACAAGATAATAATTATACAATAATCGTACAGAATCTCCGCTGTGCAATGCCTGTATTGTGCACTTACTTTCAGTAGAATTTTATTCCAATGAAATATTAAACCCAAAATATGTGTTTTTTCAGTCTGATTTGTTCAACATGAGACAGTAATGTGTGCTGTCCGTTGCTGCTGTTTGTACATACACTAATAGTCTGAAAATGATGGATGGTTAGTCACCGTGGTTACAGGCACCATGGTTACATCATTTTAGACTGGTTGCTCGGCGTCACAGTCTTCATTCAGGAGAAAGGTCTCAACTTCAACCAGCTTGTAGGCCAGCTGCTGCTGCTGGCAAGCTTCATCTTCTTCGCAGGCTTCCACAACCTGAAAGACATTGACAAGGAATGGTACGGCTTACACCCATCAACTTTGCCCTCTCTAGCTTTCCCTGTTTCAGACACAAGGTCAGGATGCATTTCTTGTATTACGCAAGAATTAAAAAAAAAAGAAGATCGCCTAATTTTCCAAAGGTGTGCAGGGTGTTCCCACGTAGAGAGATTACAGTGTTTTCTATATTTCTGTCCCTCCTATACAATGCATTCAAAGAAGAAGGACTTTGGAAATCATTCGAATTCTGTCGCAAAGTCCCCTTGAAATGGCAATTTCTCTGCTATCTCCTGTGATGATTTGGCAGCTGTGCAAGAGCTCCCCTTTCCCATAAGAACGGGAATGGGCCTTTATTGGCACACTCTAATACAGGAAACCCAGGGTTTTTGTGCTCATTTCCACGAAATTTCTTTGACATTAAAATGTACGTCATATTCACATACGGGCATCACAGCATCCCATGAGAAATGAATATAACTTACCTTCTGGTTGTACTTCTTGACATAGTCCCAGAGTTGCTGGAGAGTGCTCAGCTTACTGAACAGACCAGTGAAATTCTAGGCAAGTAAAGCGAATAAAATGAAAAAAAATAATGCGGCCAAATTTTGTAGATGTAATGTGACCAGGCAACAGTGTCCGTAAAAGGTAGACAAAACAAAACAAGAAACAAACCTTTGACGCACAAAGAGTAAATTAATGACAGAGAACATCTACTTAGCAATGATAAAGACTGTAATCAGGTGACGATAAAGGCTAGCCTGGGTCAGTTGTTGAACATTTCTGGCATTTTGACAGGATTCAAGTCTCAGACTCAGAGTAACATTTTGGAAAATATACTCAGCCGTAATATTCATTCACAAAAATTAACTTCGTTCTTGGGCCGGCTATATTGAAATTGGAAGCAATTTTCATTTTTGAATGTGAGGGCATCGGTGAAGGAATAAAATCAAAGTTCCAAATTAACACCTGTCTATTCCGACACACCTCTTTTGTTTCCCTCACTTTTCCATGTATTTTCTCCTCATTTTTATCTGTACAATGTTTTTCTTTGGTGATGGGGATGTACCCCTTCCCATCATGCCCGTGGTTCCAGTTTGAATCCTAAGTTTGGCAGTTAACATTAGTGTATTTGTTGCCCTGGCTGCCTACCTGGCATGTCTGTGCCATCTCCCTGTTGAGCTCTTGCTGCGACACTCGCTGCTTGTTGAAAATGGCATCGTAGTAATTGTCCACCAAGCCCTGGATGCGGGGCAGATCCTTGTTGAAGAGAAGCTTGCTCAGATCAGAGTCCTGGATGAAAAGTGAATGGAGAAAAAACATCATGCGCTCAAGATAACCTTTAGGACACGAAAGATGAAATAAAAAGGGACACATTTCTCCTCAAAATTGAAGCAACAGAGTTGCTGGAAGCATGTTTCTTGATACATAAAAGTTTTGGGTGATTACACCTGTTGACATGAACCCCTGCTTTAGGTCCACCTACCTTGCCAAGCTTGTGATCGCTGGTATTGTGGGCATCATAGAATGCCTGTGCGATGATTCCCAAACTGGCCTCCACTGAGCGAGATGGTTTGATATCAAAGATGAAGTCAGGACGCCGGATGGCATTGGACCAGAAACGCAGTGACAGACTACAATACAAAAATAACATGAAGTCCACTTTTACCTCCAATTTCTTACATTAAACACAAATCTCAGACTATTTTGTTCATGATGTGAACATTCAAAAAGTTATATGACAGGTCAAAATTTTCAGGACTAGTTTCGGACTCGGCAGAAATAAATAATCAAACATCTAAACATAATGTTTTTGCTCAAGCTTCGCTTATTTTGTACAGCTCAAAATGATCAATATGCTAATTAGAATCTTTACAAGGAGTACAGTGTTGTATTTGTATTTGAGTCCATCACAAGTCCCTGTAAGTCCTGTGACAAAAGCATTGTGGTGTCATGGTTACCCTGTCACTTATGGCTGGCCTTGTGAAGGGGCTTGCGAAAGGACTTGTGATGGACTTGAATACAAATGCAAGGAGATGTGGGCATGTAGTCAATGACGGCACCTGTTTCCTTTCCATGTCTTGATGGCATCTTCTGCATCTGGGATACTGTGTCTGATGGCTTGGCTGTCAAAGAAATCAAAGAGGTATTTGACAGCCTTGGGCGCCGTGCCAGGGTCCAATATGGTGGTGAACATGTGGTCAATGTACTCCTGAATGGTGCCCTGGAAGAAGGGGACGAGAAATCGGAGGTAGTCACAGAGACTCAGAGACTGTAGATCAAAACGGCTTGACCAACATTGCCCAAATGATGGATGGTTTAATTTGACTAACTAGTCCACTGTATGGAAAAGGACCCCGGGGAATGATTGCACCACTGGTTACCAACAGCCAATTTAATTTATCGGTACGGAGGGAACCGTTCACATGAAAAAATTGTACCACATACAGGTAAACCAAGAGAGTTGCAATCAATGGCCACATGTGAGTGGCAGTGAGATCTTACAAACTAGTTCAACAAGGGAAACTTGAGTGGAACTGTTTTGCACTTGGACACTGCTAAAAGCAACTCACTAGGGTTAAACTATAGCTCATGCCCAAAATTTGAATTTCCTGAATGGAGATTGGAGTCAGGAGATGGTAAGTGCTTTAAGTTTTACACCATTTTTGTCAGGGCACAAGGCAAACAGTGAGGCTCCTTTGAACCCCTGTCTTCTTCAAGTCCACCTTTTTTGCATTTATAGTCTCAGATTCATGAAAATCTAAATCAAGTGCAATGCAGACACAAAAATTTCATACTTAAACAAAGTTAAAATGGCCTGCATCTGCGGCAGAGAAAGAAAAAGGTTTTCTTCCAGGTTTGTAAAAACTGGGAGGCAGCAGCATCTTTTTATACATGAAAGGGTTTTCCAAGATGGCGAAACATATTTTCACAATTCTTTCATTAATAGATTCGCATAAAAAAGGAATTTTCACCATATCTGACAGGTTTTTAACTATGGCTAGAAATTTTGCTAGAAAGCAAATAAAAAGTCAAAATATCAGGCAAATAAAAAAAGAGGTGATCAGAGAAACTGGTAACAGACAGGGACAAAAAACTTTTTCTGACCTCAACTACATGTACATATAAGCCCTGTTGGGAGCTTTAAAGAAAAAAACCAGTCAATACGCTTCAGTAATCATGGTAATTGTATAGGGACGAGTGGTCCAGGATTAAAACTCCCCATCACAGGGTCAGAATTTGACTCTTGCAATGGGGCACTGCTGAGCAAGTCACCCTACCCCCGTTTGCCTTTCTCCACCCAGGAGTGGAAATGGGTAGCTGTGCGGCCAGAGAAGATCCCTGTGCTTGATTAACTACTAGGTGGCGCCTGAAATGGTTGCAAGGACGGTTGCACACCTCTTTGGAAGTCGAGATATGGTTCATTCATTCACGTTTCTGGGCCAAGAGTTGGGATTATAAGGTGCACTGTGAATCAGCCGGTATTGAATATACGTGATATAAATAATAATCACCGCTAATGGGTCATTAGGGAGACATTCCCATAAGAACGTGCACAAAATTTTTCCAACTTTACCATCCCATAATTCAATATTCCCTAATCTGATCTGAACCAAACTTTGCATATTTTCATTTTAGGCCCTAAACTATCATCTCTCAAAATTTGGACAGTAAAATTCGGCCTCCTTCTGGTAGTTTGAAAATAGGGAGACACTGAAATGTCTCCCTAAAAGCCAATGTCTCCCTAATGCTGAAAAATTTATAACAAAATGTCTCCCAAATGACCTATTGGTAAATATAGACATTATTATTGTTATTGATGCTTATCTGTAGAAGTATGCAATCCGACCTTTGTGCCAATGAGTCTTGTCATGTAGAGCTCACGGATCCGTTTCTTGGGATGCACTGCGATCCTGGACAGGCGCTTGGACAGGCGTTTATTCCGACGTTTCGTGGTGGGGTACTCAAGATCCCCCTCCTCAAACTTGACCTTGGTTGAAAAAGAAATGAAGAAAATGCATTAGTGATACCATGATGCTATGGTGTGCCTTACTGGAACTCTCTCAACAAAACCAGTATTGACCTCACAGTTTCTCACTCTGAGGCAGGGGACCAGCAATCACTCAAGGGCAGCTGCATTGCATAGCCAGGTAAGCTTTCTTGTAGACAGTCCAGTGACCATGATGGAACTGTATGGCAACAATGAAAACCAAGCCTTGCAAGGAAAAGTTAGCAGACTTCCTGCCACAGTAGCTGGGTCCAATTTAATGCAGCTGCTGAGCATGAAATACTGCTTAGCAAATTTAAATGCTGAGCAAAATGACAGCTGTGAAATCCGTACCCGTCAAACGACACAAAAAATGCATAACATTTTGGTTGGTTACCTGCTCTTACCGAGCAGATATTTTGCTTGCTTATTAGGAGATTTCAGTGTGACACAAGCTCTTTTGCTTACCAGATGCCAGGCTTTAGCCTTTTCATCCATGTCTATTTCTACCATGGTGTAGCGATTATTACGGGAAGCACTACGGGGAGCAGCTGACGGTTTGGTTGGGTAGCTGTCATCAAAGTTGTTTGCTCCACCCCCTTGGAATGCCAAATTAGCTAGAGAAAGAATATTCCAAAGGTTGAAGGCCCAATTCATACGCCAGGTGAACATACAAAAAAAGTGAATTTGAGAGTCATGGAATATTTGTAGCAAAATTGCTGGAGTTGAACGTGCTGAACTGGTTTGACTTTGCAGCACAAACATTGGATCTGTTGTCAGGAAGGAGAAATTTCAATTGCAAAAATTTGATTGGTTGTGCAAGAAAAACCTGACCACTGACATAAACTACAAGTTCTAAAACTGTTTGTACTGATGGGATTTAAAATTTGTCGTTGCCAACTTCAGATAATTAAGTTGAATTTGGACAAACATTGGTATATCAGCAGGGACAGGTCACTATGCACATATATGGTAATACAGTACACTGCTTAAGGATGTTTTTGAAGACAGAGATACAGAATTTTATTTCTTTGAGATTGTTCAAACATGGAAAGTTCTTTCACATCTACAGATCATTTCCTCTGTTTCTTTGATCTGTGTTGATTTTCCTCTTCCTCGGGGAGGGGGGTGAGAAAATGAATAAGGGGAGGAAGAATGAGGGGTGGGGAGTGTGATGGGAGGTGGAGTCAGGGTAGAAGAGGAGCCAAAAATACTATGATGTAGTTGCAAATGTAAGAACACTGTTTTGTCGTCTTACCATAGACATTATCAGCAGGCCTCCGAGTACCATCAGACGATACTTCTATTAAGGCCATGGTAGACTTGTTCGGAACCTGGTTGTACAAGCAATTGAAAAAAAGCAGCTCTTGAATATCTTTCAGTTTTTTTAAGGTAACATCAAAGAACAAAGCTCATGACAGCAAAGTTAAAATGCTATTTGGTGATAGGGTAGTCGGTGAGGCTCTGTCATTGTTCATTTGAAGGCCTGATCACTGGACTTGAGACGGCAGGGTTTCAGCTGCCTCTGTGACCAACTAGTCAATACTCACAAAGACTGGCTTGCGTGGTAAAGACGACCTCCTTCAGGAAGAGGTGAAATAAGTCAAACCATGCCTCTCTGTGTAATGGCATGCTCAAAGTTGGGAGGATGAAATTTCTCGTGGAATTTCATTTTTTGTTCTTTGGCAAGAGATACCATCTTTGATCTCTAACATTTCAGAGCTTTTGAACAAACTCTTTGAACAGAAGAAGGTGGTTACTGGGGAGAGTTATAGTGAGCCTAAGCTTCAAAACCTAAGTCTGTATCAGACTAACTTCTTTAAAGCCTGCTTTTCTCAGTTGTGTTAAGTTAAACTCCACAGAACTAATTATGATGAATAAAAGGTCATGTCTCCAGAGCAGAATGGGCTAACGAGCTCTGCTATGCGTCATATGGAAGCTTATAATGTGGGTTCTCCAGCCATGCATATAACTTGTTACAAAAATACAACATATTTTTATTTAGAGTGGACCACATATTGTACTGCACAAAAAGTAAGCAGCTGCAGATACATGCTTTTATAGTTGGAACCTTTGTTATCATTTAAAATTTGCCAGTCTTGCCCATCTTGGATGAGATGACTTGTGACTCATTACTGATAATTAAGGGTGGATCCAGGTTTTGGAGGCTATTACATGTTTTGAAAGGACAACTCTAGCCCAAAAGACGAACAAGCTTTTAAGTTAGAGTGCCTCATGGGGGGGGTGCTCAACTCAAGTGGAAATTTTGAGCGACAGGAACAACCCCCCACCAACCTAACAAGTGTCCTACTTGGCTAATTTCATGAGACCCCAGCTAAGTGGAGGAAATAAATGTCTGACAAAACCGAGGATTTCAGTAAGAATTATTGAGTAGAGCCAGTTAAAAGTTGAAGGTAGAGGGTCTGATGAATGTGGAAGGAGTTTCTCTCCAAGAACTCGGCTCAAAGGTCAAGTGAAGTGAATGGCCAGAAGATGATCGGTGCACAGGTTACCAGGGGAAGTTGACGAGTGGTCAAATAGTAGTTATTCAAACTTGCTCTGTGCTACCAACTGCCCCTACATACTGCTAAAACAACTCACCCACTTCTAAGAAAACCCAATTACCCAAGCCTGAAGTCTAAACATTAATGGGGGGAAGGGGGGTTGGTTAACATAATATGTCTAAATGAGACCTGAGCCAGATTTCCATCTATGGGACTGTTTATCTTGACACTCACATGGTAGAACTTCAGTGTGTTCACTCTCTTCCATCCATCCAGCGTTGCGCTGGTTATGTCCAAGTCGCGCAGGATTAAGTGGCCCTCTTTACCCTGACGCCATTCTGCATGGTGGGGGGAAAATATTGCAATTTGTGCCTTGAACCTTCATGCAACTGTGATTAGCAGTTGGCATCATCTTCGTAACAGTCCGATGAAAATATGACAGGAAAAATGCCAGGACTGCTGTGTCCAGAAACTCCAATACGAGTCAGCGCACGGGAGCACCTACATGTGTACTTTGTATAAAACAATTCAAATACCTTTGTTATTATGTTTTAGATCATTCCATTGTTTTTCTTCCAGTTCATCTATTTATTGATGCAAGTGCGAGAAAGGAAAACCCTTCACATAATTAGAAAGAGTTATAATATGTAATTGAGTTTAAAGTTCACTATATACATGATTCTTCTCACAGGTATATTTGTCTTGTTGATTTATTGAATAATTTATTTTCCTGTTTGGTGATGGTGTGACCAAAAAGTTCTCAGATTGTATACGAAGTCAATGTAAGCTAGGCCTATTGTTTCCTCATTTCCATGCCTTGAATTTGCTCTTCAGCTTCTGTTTGTTTTAGTTTATTGCAGATCCAATATCCTAGCTCAAGCTGTCAACTGGTTTTGCTTGTTAGTTTCAATTTGGGTTGAGTCTCAATTCAAGTTAGTTGCGAAGGTGGGGGTGGTAATTGGAAAGGGGTGGGACAAACGGTTGTTTACCCAGATCAACTTGGTGGGCACTGGGTCGGCTGGAGTAGGGCTGATTGCGATAGATGGCATCCAAGATCTTCTCCTTCACTTGGGAGATGGTGTCCAAGTCTAGCACCTTGACTTCCTTGGTTTCCCCATCTGCATCATTCACAATGACGGTGAGCACCTGACGGGAGAAATGTAACAACCCAAATCACTCTCACTGAGTTTTTTTAAAATAGAGGTGAGAAAAGGTATTCAAAAGCACACCTTTTGCCTGTGAGATTTTTTAATATTTTCTGATTGATTACTTGGTCCCTTTTCAATTCTGCGTTCAATTAACTAAGCCCAGGTCCATAGCTATGTTGAATCAGGCAAAGATATGAGCAAATACCAATGTTCTAGGTGAGATCTTCACAATACCAGACACAAGACCAGTCAAAAGTTCATCAAAGACTGACCATCTCACGGTATTCCACTTCTTCTGTGAGTAACTTATCATCGCTCAGCGTGAACTTGGCCTGTCCAGAGATGATGTCGATGGGCCCATGCTCACTGTGGCACTTGATGGCGCGGTACAGCAGGAACAATGGGTAGGCTGTGTGATCCTGTCATGACAAACAAACCAATCGATGTAGAACCATGTCTAGTTCATACATAATAAAAGCACAGCAAATAAATGGTGCAACATAAAAACTACACGGAGACAGCTAAGACCGTCGAAAGAGGGAGTTTTTCTGATTTTTGTGGAAGGATCAGGCTTTAAAAGAAGCTGACAAGACAGCAGAAACTGTAGGAGGTTCATCGTTTTCCTCTTTCTCCTAAAGTTCTTTTTCTTTTATTTCCTAATCCCATTTTTAACACGGAAACTAAGACATCAGAAATTAAAAGAAATGAAAATTCAATAACTGCTTGATGCAAGTCTAACAGAGGTTGCCTAGAGCAATACATTAAACTTAACACGGATAACTAAGTATATTTCTCAAAACTGCATACACTGGAGAACAGAGGTCAAATATCTGAACAACGTCGTCATTACTATAGTGTGAAGTAAGGAAAAGAATTTGGCAGGCAAAACAGCTGAGACTGCATTGAGCCTAAGCAACAATGGAGTTATAGCTACCTTCAGTGAATCGTAGAGACAGAGGGTAATCCAATTAGACAGCAGCTTCTCCAGAATGGTCTCAGTACTGTAAACAAATGGATGGAAAGCTTCCTGAGTCCCTACCTCCACATCAATATAAAATCAGTCTCAGAAATTGGTTTTGTCTTTGCATTGGCCTGTCTGGGACTTCAAAAACATGTCTGCATCCTGCACTTTTTTCAGTTACTTTTGTTGTTTATCATGTTTGTTCTTAGATTTTGTAAGATCTCTTCAGGCTACTAAGTTTGGATTACTCAAATGCATTCTGTTTTTTTTAATGAATTATTCTTAACAAGTAATAGTTTAAAAATGTTCCTTCTCCCCAAAAAACAATTTTATCCCTCGTAAGTTTTTTGACTCTGTGAAACCAACAACACAAGTCATTTTGCACGGATTTGAATAAAAACAATTGTGTGTTTTGTTGTCAGAATCTGGGGTGGCCTTCGTGAAGATTCAAACTCACCGACGGAAGAGTTGCCTTGGTCTGTTAGCATCTAGCTCATCCTGTACCAACCTGGACATCAAGGTGAACAATACACTGTCCACGAACGAGGCATGAAAGAAATAAACACCAGGATATGAATGGTGATGAACAAGGCAACTATCGGAATAAATAATCTCTGCTTACCAGAACAATGAAACTGAGCCAGAATATATTCCACCTGTGCTTTGAAATTGAAACTTGGAAGAAATTAGTTACTGCAGGAATAAACTATACCACATGAAGACCACTCCCCCCCCTGCAAAAAAAAACTACAAGAACATTTTTCTGCAGTAATACCACAGGAAATTTCTGCAGGGTTAAAAGTGAAAAAATGCAACTCATTGAAATGTAGAAAAATGTGGAGGACTTTAATCAAGTACCAAAAGAAGACAACATATGCAATAAATGCAGAACAAGAAAAAAAAAAGACATAAAGTCAAAACAACTCCGATTAAAAATCCAATCAGAAATAATGGCTTAATACTCACTCAGACAGGTAGTCCAGTTTGCCTTCAGCCACCATGACAATGGTCAGCAGAGAAGCTATTGCACCTCTAAAGAAAATAAATACATGTATGATTATGGAAATGAGACACATGCAACAGCATAGGTATCCATGCACCTGAGACAAGAACATTGCAGAAACAATGTCTGATGCTCTCATGCCATTTTCGTGGCCCTGCTGTGCACATAGGCATTCCTTTGACGAGGTAACACTATGGGTTTGTGTGCATTCAGATGAAAATTGGGCAAGTTTTTTTCATGAGCCTTTAGAGGCAAACACTGAGTATACAGTGTTATAATACACGTCAGGCAAGGGAATAAACAGAAAATTAATTAGCAATAATCTGCTCCATTCCGGAAATAGACATGCTGTGTAGTTTGCTACACAGTGACAGCACTCGTGCGGTGTGGGCTACATGAAAGGAATGCACAGTCTTTGGTCACAGACTGGGCACCAAGCTGAAACGGTTACCTTTCACTACCAAAGCAGCAGGGGGTGAGGAGAGGAACCTCGAGTTAGCACAGATACTCAACGGAATGTTCAGAAGCTAGGTCAATTTAACAGTCATGCCCAAATGTCTTGGCGACAGTTGGGAATTACTTGCATGTCGCTACATGTGTGCTTTCTCAATGCATAACTGAGTCATTGGGAACTGATCTTGAAATTCCCACCTGTCCATGACCGAGAGTCTGGCCTTGCTCTGAGCGTCCAACGTTTGCAGAAGCATCAGCAGGAAGGTCTTGTTGCCCAGAGCAGCACTGAACTTCATCATTGCTCTCTCCACATGCTCCTCGGGGTTCTAGCGAGGGACGTTAACAATAGGAATAAAATAGTTTTTGTTTTAACAATTAATCTGACACGACGCCATCAGTGGCTGAGGAAAAGTGAAAAATTGTAGACAACAGAAAAAAAAGATGTGTCATGTTCAATGTCACAGATGTTTTGTCACATAAGGCTTGAACTGGGATATGGTGGAGGCATCTTGATAATGGGATGAAGACAAAGAATTCCAGAGCAAAGTGGCGAGTGGGAAGAAACTGGTAGAATGTATCTCGGAATTGGCTTTGGAAACCATGACAGTACAAGAATGTAACTGTAAGGAGGAGCACATGGTACTTCCAACAGAGCCACTGTGAGGAACAACCAGTGAAAGGTTACGGGAGCACCTTCCACGGTAGAAAGGTTAGAGGATGCAGAGTGAAGGTACAGAATGACAATACAAGAGTGAATTCAGAGAACCAGTAGATACCTCTCTACATCCTAACGAGCAGTGACAGAAAAAAGGCTGGGGCACAAGTACAAGATGGGAGGAGACATGGCCTCCCTAGACCCTGGGGGAATTTTCGTTTAGTAAGATAAGAGTTATCTGCACTGGCCACGGGGTGGTGGATGTTTTCTCAAGACATCTCATGCCCTTGTGGACTGGTGTGCGAAAGCGACAGAGTTCTTTGGTGTGGTTCATATCTTGTAAATTGATAGATGCGAGACATAACAGGAGAGGAAGAGATAAGAGGATGCAATCAATGCATAAGATTCATAAAACATCTTCAAGAAGCCTGTCTTCAGGATTTCTCCAGCAGGCACGTAAAAAAGTGTGAATTTGCTGAGAGAATGAAGGGGAGCGGACATGGGAATGAATAATGCAAAGCAAAGGAAATAAAGTGAATGAGTGAATTCTGCCATCTCAAGCCAACATGATACAATATCAGGACGACATCAGACCTCATCAAGCTTCAGAGGGTCAAGGCCACTTGGCAGTGCTTGGCCTGGAATGCTCCCAAAAACCAAAGGGCACCAAGGCCAACTGAAAAGGCACCAAGGCCACTTTGAAAGTTTTACTTATCATGCTTGTTGGTGACTTTAACAGATTTTCCTTCAATTTCAACACTTTAACTTTCAACCTGCAATTTTCATTGTTTCTGTTCACATGCTGAGCAGTCTGCTTATATTGTAAAAATAAACATAAAATAATACTGTACTAAGTTTTAATTGACCATTTGGTGCCATAAAAGTAAAACTGCATTTTGAAAATCACTCTAATTACTCACAAACAATGCAATTCAAGCAAGTCTGTCACTCGGTCACAAACATTTATTCAATTGAAGCCCCCTGTCATGCCCAGCGCCCGAGTGAATGCCAGTAAAATAGCAAGGAAAAAATAGACAGGGTCATGCTCCTGTCCACAATCCCCCAAAATAGTGACTCGGTCTAAATATGTGATATGTACAGAATGCAATTTTAAAGGGCATCATGGCAATCCACTGGGGCAACGCGGCAGTGGCCGCTGTAAAGATATCTTTTTAGAGCAGGAAAACTGATGTTTGCTGATCATTTATAGACCTGATGGAAGCAAAAACTACTAACAAAACAAATCATGGTGATGGAAACAACAGCAAAAGCATTTTAACCATACCAAAAAAGAATAGCAATGTTTTTAAATGTTTCAAATGCCCCCCCCCCGTAGCTCTCTGACAACTGTTTCTGAAAAGCTCACCTCTGGGTCGGTTGTTGAGGGTTTGGTTTCCTGGCCAATGAACAGCATGTTGGTTGTGTACTCTCGGTGGCTTACAAACGGCATACCAATTCCTTCCAAGTCACTGGTCAAATCTGACACATCTGTCTGCAGCTCGGCAAAGGCTGACAACAAAAATGACAACCAGAAAATTATACATGTCATCATATTCTGCCTCTGGTCTATTCAAAATGAGTGTTAATTTTAATGGAAAACAATTAATCAAGGGAATTGTGCAACATGCAAATACTGTTTCACAGTGGACATCTACTGTCACTTAAATGAACTGATTTTGCCCTCAACAGCATGAACCGAGCTCCAGGTAAACATTTACAGAAAAGACCGCTAAGGGCAATGTATATAATTTTTGAAAGGGAATCAGTTTTAATAACTGGACTTTGAAATATATTTTCAAAAACGGTCCACAGATGTCGATGAACACTTTTGCACTTTTATGAAGAAAATCCACTTAAGAAGTCACTAAATGGGTATACGAGTATCTTGTGATTTTTTTTTCAGACAAAGCTCATTTCAATCTCGCAATCCATCTATAATAATCACTATCCTCTTAGAACTTAAAAACGTTACATGCCTTTTCATCTTAAACAAGAAAATACTTCATTTGAAGTAATATAAAAGGAAAGAAAACTGGGGGGAAAATAAGGCTTTACCTGTTCTCATGTCTTCGGCAAGATCCTGCTGAACCTTGTCTATATCATCCAGACGCTTGTCGACTTCCTTCTGTGCTGCTTTGGACTTCCGCTGCAGACCCACAGCTAGCAGCACTGCCAACACCAGTACACCAACGCTGACTGTGCAGGCTATTAGAATAGTCCAGTCAGTGGGAAAATAACGGAAGTAACCGATGTTGAAGGACAGCGTGGTACCGTGAATCACCTAAGTTGAAACGGTCAGAAAGAATTGAGAAATGTGGAAACATGGCTTAGGATCTGGCGAAGGAATAGTGGAATGGAACCAGCATTGCAGTCAGGTCCATTACAAGTCTGTTAGCCTTTTCCTTTCACGAATTCAGTTACAGGACCACAAGGCTCTTTGATCCAGCAGCAAAATGGTAAATACCATCATCGCTTCATTTACATCTCATGAATATGACTTTCCAGGATTTTGTCGACGAGGCACCGTGGAAACGGCTCTCCGGCTGGTGCGTGGACACAATGAGCGGGCGCGGTCACGTCAATGCACATAATTACATGTAGTATAGAAACACGTGTGTAGTTACAGTTTTACACCGTCCCAAGTACGAGGTGCAGAGCTTTACTGCTTTGAACCTATCGTGCCCCTGGAGTGCCGACAGGATCCCGATCAGGCCGACAATGGGGCCACCGCTGGTGAACGAGGCAGTGAAGGAGACCAAGATCATTTGATAAATATGGCCCGGTAAGTTCAGAGTGAAGGACAGGTGTTTTCAATGTTTTGAATGTTGTTACTTTATTCGCAAAAAAAGTGTAAGGTTAGGCTGGCAGCTCAGGCGTGCAGGCCTTTGCATGAAAACATATCCACGAAACCAGGTCCTGAGAGGTCATGATGTTTTCGTTTCCACGGTGGTATATCATCAAAAAGTATTTCTGTGTGGTGCCAGCAATGGTACCAGCGTGGAAAGTTTTTGGAAACCAGCAGAATTGGTCCATATTTTCATCGCATTATTACTAGTTATTCAGAAGTCACAGTGCCACTTTTCATTTATAACTTATTACTTAGATACCACGTGAATATACTAAACTGTACTGTCCATTTTTTTCTCCAACGTAGGGGTTGCACTTTAGCATGCATGATTGATCAATCACGGACACTATCTTCGGTCTGTTCCTCTTAGAAAAATGAGAATCTAGTTGGCACATTAAGTCATAATTGATCCAAACTGCCCTGCCTGTTCCTAGCTGCACCATCTCTCAGGAATAAAAACCATGCAAGTGCTAATGGGTCACTTACTCTATGCAGGAACCTGAGATAGCATGTTATACTACAAGAATAATACCCTTTTGATGGGGAATAACTGCAGGCATACACATGTAGGTTTGCTGGCACACTGAGCACACGTGATTAATTTCTCTTGAACTGTATGCTCTTTTGCATGTGCACTGTGTGCCAAGTGGACTTTCCCCCATCAGCTCATCTCTTTTCTGGAGTGAAGGAGGGGCTTTGAAGGAGGTGCACTGTTCAACAAAGGGAGTTTGAATTTACCCAGACAATGGGCAGACGTTGCTCGTCAGTTGTGTTCCTGCCGCGGTAATCCCCGGCCGCTGGTTGCTCCTCTGGTAGCGTGCATGACAAGGCTCCCTCATCAACGGTAACTCCTGTGCAAAGTTCCTTCCCAATGTAGACCGTCACCTCCTCGTCTGTAATGGCCAGATCCAGTCTCCTTCCCTGGTGAGAACCAAATGCAAATCCATGTAATACAAAAGCACCATGTTCAACCTATCAAGCAAACCACGATAAAATATGCTATCAATGCAGATATTGACTAAAAACTGGGAAATAAGTACTGCAAAAAAGTGTTGCCTTTTTTTTTTGGAGGGGTAGTCCTTATGTTAGTCAGCCAGAAATGGTAACATCTGCAATGAAACATTGAAACTAGGTGACCAGGACTAAAGGCCACAAAATCAGACTTCATCGTTTTCTCAAGTATTTTAAATCATCATACTTCCCTCTTAATTCTCACCAAGGCTACCCTCCTCTCTCTTCTTGTTCCCCTTGTTTCATCAGTCTTCCTTAAAAATTGTACAAAGTATACATCTTTCTGAGACCCCATGATCCCCACTGGCCCACCCAGTTCCAATGTCTCTTTGTTTCTGGAAGGTTGTGCTCATCTGGTGGCACTAAATAGTGCCTTCTTTAGATTCTTCTGAACATGAATGTTGAGGCCCCTCAGTAAAACATACACCACCACACCTCAACTCAGACACTTGAAGTCTCTGCCTCTGACCAGTACTGATGTGCAAATTTGTCAGACGAGAAATCTTCATGGGCATATTAAGCTTTAAGAAAATTCAAAATTAAACCACGGCAGACTGCCCTTCCTCATACCCCATTTAAGCTCTGTGAAATCAGGTTAATCAATGGTCATCAGGAATGATTTCCAGCAATGGTAAGAAACTTTTAAACTGGGTGTGCCCATATCCACACAACATTATTAACTTGATTTATACAAGAAATCCAACTTGCCTGTATAATCATGGTATTTCCTTCCTTCATTCCGATTCCATCCTCCAAGTTGTAAATCGCATCAGTGAAGGGATAGTATTCGGGATCCTGGAAGTACTCCAGAGGCGTGCAGTCCCGCTGGCCTACCCTGCACCAGGTGCGGAGCTCCTCTACATTGTCCATGATGAATCCTGTCGACACATTGACGCTCGAGTCTTCTGGCAGTGCTGAATTGGGCAAGACAATTTCCGGCGACATGCAGACCATGATCTCATCATTTTTCACAGTGCAGTTCTGTTTTGGTAAAAAATTTTTTTGGTAAAAGTAAATTCAAAGAGTTTGAATTCATGACTAGGCCCAAGGGCAGGCTATCATCTGTGCATCAAATGGGACATCAGTGTGCAAGTTTCACAACCAGTCATGGGACAAAGAGGTAACTTTTCTACTATTTATCGTAATTAAATTTTCTTTCTGTATTCTTGCTCAAAAAATGAGAACTTCATCAAACAGGCTACACTTATTGACTGCAATACAAATTTTAAAAGCAAAAATGTCATCACAGCATATTGGTAATTCTTTTTTTTCTGTTTGAACCTCCACTTAAGTTCCATTTCAGAATTTCACGACTGTGGAATTTCTGTTGCTTATCTATTACAAATTCAATACTGTGGCTCACTGCAAAACCTTTAAATATTTTCCTTTACCCCAACAAACTCCCGTTGTTTCATCCCGTGAGTGATGACAATCTGTGGCTGCTGAATAATTGAAAATCTGGATCCGTTGACCGTCAACTTTCGACCACCCCTGACACAAGTGATCAAAATGACAAATGATAACAATGCAAAAGGTAAATCACAAACCAACTGCCATTCTTATTGGGAGTCTTCATCACTTCTACAACTGAAATGCAACAGTCCCTGCCTCAGAATCTGTACTGTACCAAGCAAAATTAGAGGGGGAATTTTTAAATAGTAACAATGACACTTTGGTGCCAATTCAATGTGCAAGCACGCAGGATTATGCACCTTTGACATGGGATGTGCTAACCTATGTGACCAATTCCTGAATAAATGCGCTGCCTCTAGCTCGAAACACATGAGCCCATCCCAGTTAGAAATCTTCCCATCAGCCCGTCTCCTCTCTGCTGCTGGGGGTGAACTTCAAGTTAGCATGGACATATTCCGTTGCTGGCACAGAGGGCTAGTGTATAAAGCACTTGCCTCTCACCACTACAGCCTGGGTCTGAATATCCCAGTCTGGGCCACATGTGAGTAGAGATGTTTGCTGTCTTTGTCCTGTGTCACAAAGATTCCGTAGTTCCTCCCCCCCCCACCATTCTGCATTCACATAAGGGTTTTTTGGCAGGTGTCAAGGGCACTTGCTCATGCCTTTAGCTCAACCACGCTATACCTATATCCTTTGTGAGCGGCTTTGCAGCCAGCAATGATTAGCTCTGTCCCCCTTAAAATAGAATACATAAAGGTCTGTCTCCTATCTTTCATCAAGCCACAGCTGAATTTGAAAAGTGTCTAGTTCCCTTTTTCTTTAAATACGACTTGTGCATTCACCCTTAAACTTTAACTCCCCAGTCACCTTAGGCTCAGTGAGATTTGTGCTAGCAGGATACACAAAGGTTTTAGCTAGAGGTAAAAGGTTGTTCTTTAAGTTTTTATTGGTGTCAGCTGCTGGAAAAGAAACTTGAAAGTAAGACTGAACTCACGCTAAGACACTTGTTGAGGGATCGATATATCTCACGTCAGGATCAACAGCATATGAATAGTTCCCCGACCTTCTCCATGAACCATCAAAGGAGACATTGACGCCCCAGGTACCGATATTTTCAGCACGGGACGTAATACAGATGATGCTGTCATCTGTGACATCCAATCTACATTTAGTACCAAAAATACACCATTAAAAATTATTCCTAAATGCATACATCTCAGATTAAGGTTCTACCATTCCTATTGGTCAGTTTTTAACAGCTGATAATTTCAACAACAGGTTTTAAAAACACTCTGCTGTTTTCACAAATCACGGGGTAAAACTGATCAACCAAATTGTTGGGAAAATACAATTTTTTTCCTTTTTGCTCAGCCTTTTAATACATGTAAAAGGTACTCATTAACGGATCTCAGCTTTGGCTTGGGACAATATTGTCTCCAGGCACCTACCAAGTTGTAAATGGTAAAAATTTAAAACTCTCCCATCTCACTTTTATTCATCACCTCTGGTGACCAGAAGTGGCCCAAACCGTGATGCCCATGGCCGACAAATCTGGCTAGCTTTGCTAAACTTCTGCTTTGAAGCACTACAGCAAAAATTCAGCTTTAGGAATCTGATTAAATAGTTCAGTTTAACATTTTTTTCCAGTTTGTCTTGTTTTTTTGTACTTCATTTTAATCTGAAAACGCCATGGAATATCCTTCATAAATACTACAGCAATCCACTGTAGAATGAGAAAAGTGAAAAACTCTTTCTGTCTCTTACAGCAAAGAAAATGCGACGAATTCTCAACATGACTTAACATGTTGGCTTGTAGTATTAAGATAAAATAATTAGGAGCCTTTCCTTCTTTTCCTCGATTTTAAAAACAATGCATACTCTTTTATCTAGCCTTTCTGATCCAAGAGGGTACAAACTGAGAAAGAAAAATGGTTTCTGATGTGTTCGTTATTTATCAAAATTTTTAGTATTCTTGAAGAGCTATTCCCCTTGCCAACCAGGTTATGTTTTGTTAGCTCATGAGAGAGATGATCCAAAAAAAGACACAACCCCTGAAACGTTGCTCGGCTACATCGTCCATATTGCTTCAGTATATGCACATGGAGTAAGTCTGCAGAGTGTTGCAGAACGAGGGCTTATGTACCCAAAAAACCTTTCTTTTGTCACAAAAATGGCTACCAAAAAACAAGTTGAATCACCTGTTAGTCTCGCAAGGCATGTCACCTACAAATACTTGAATGTATCTCCCAGCATCCAGAGATTCACCGGAGAGAGTGAGCCTTGTACCACCTGACCGTGGGCCAATATTGGGATCTACCATAGCATTGAGCATTGGATCCTGTAAAGTCAACAACACTTTTAAAACAAATCATTTCTATGACACACACATTGACTGTTTTTAGATCATCTTTCGCCCTCAGTTGATGGCACCTTCTGCGGTACTCCTTGCAGAAGGGATGAAGATAGGACATGTTTCATTTAATTTTTTTGTTAAAGACAGGAATCCTAGAATGACATCCCTTCATGATTCGGTTCAATGCAAATTGATTACGACCACATTTACCTCAAATTTTGAAAATGTTCTCATTCAGCTTGGAACTCGATCAAAAAGACCCCAATCTAACTATCTCCTGATTTACTGTAGAGCTGTTTTATTTTTTGCTAAATCAAGTCAGCCAAATTAGATAAACTACAAGAAATACTTTTGGCCCAAACTTTTAATCTAGAACTAAGTGACTGGCCAATAACAACAGTTACACAATGGTTTGTCAGTCACTGAAAATTTTTGGATTTCTTATTTGGCCTTGTGCTATAATCTACACTCCTTTACGATGCAAATAAAGAAAGTGTCACCAATCATACCTTATATCCAAACACAACATCATCTCCCTGACTTAGCTGTGTGTTTCCATCTGCACCGGTAATTGCAACTTGCAGTCGCAGTGTGCCAGGCGAGACATCACGTCGCCTGCGTGAATTGCTGGCATTTGGTGGCGTCGTACAACTGACACTGCACATATCAGGATGCAAAGTACAGTAGTCATAAAATCAAACGGATTACTGTCTTGTTGGTCTAATCAGAATTCGTTACGTATACCATAGCCAGGACGTCCACCAGCAACTCACACATAACACCACATCCAAATACAGTTCCAGAACTGAACTACAGTATGCAAGTTTTCAGTAAAATTGAAAATATATGGTATTTCTATTACCAACCTCTTCATTTTAAAAACAAAAGTTTTCTTTTAGAGATTGTGGAAATAATACTTAGTGCCATTACTTTCAGTCCACTTTCATATTTTTGTGAAACCTCTGCTTTGGACATGACCAATTTAGGAACAATTTTGTTTGTAAGTCTGTACGTCAGAAGCAATTGTAGCAAAACCAACAATCCTGCAAACATGGGAAACAGCAATCCGGTGAAACAATTATTCATCTTGGATTATTTTACTAAACCACAGTCAAGATGCACTTTGGCAACACACTTTCTAAGCTGGGTGACTAAAAACTGATCAGAAGATCACCTTCCCCCTACTACAAACACAGCACATCCCTAAAGATCGGGGATATTTCATGAGAAGAAATGAGTGTAACTAATGGCAGAGATGAACTGTTCGGATTGGATAATGCAGTACCCTGCAACATGAGAGTCTATGTGCACTTAATACTCTTGTTTTGAATGGCAAACAATGTTTTTGAAATGCAAACACTTTACCTGCTTCCTGTGCTGTAGTTTTTGTTCTCCAAAGCACAAATTTTCCCTGCCACAGTCACATTGATGACGTCGCTGAACCGACGCCCTATGTCGGTACCAGTCAAGGTAATTAGCGTGTTCCCCTCGATAGGACCAAACAATGGATACACCTGCAGAGTTTGTTTCCATGGACACAATGAATATAAAATCAGATATGATTGTCCTAAAGTTCCTGGTGCAAATCCAGAGCCAATATTTCTTTTTTGGGGGGGTGTCAAAATTGTTTTATGTACCCTCTATGTAAGGCCTTTCAGAATGGTAAGGCTATATTTGGGAGCTTTTTACACTCTTTTGGAAGAAGTGAAAAAGACTGCCTCCCTCTAAATTGCTTTACTCCAGTCACAAGTCCTTTCAAGAGTTACAGAGTGAATATAGAGACAAAGAAAAATTGTCCACAGGTCATGCCCTAATACAGATCATATCATGCGATGCTTCAACGAGCAAGCACTAGGCTATGCCCATTGTTCCACCGCTGTATTATCATGTCGTACTTTTTGTAGAACTGGATCAGGGCAGTTCAACCCATTATTCGGAGTGACCATCTGAGCGTTGTCACACACAGCACTGTCCATCACCCCGCAGGTATTCCCACACCACACACATCCTAGCTTCGCACGGGCAGTTTCCTCAGACACACATCGGCTACAGTCAGGGCGAAGGACCTCGCATTTGTAGAGAGTCACTGTTCAAAAGAAAAAAGAGGAAACAACGTGGTGAAGCAGGTAAAATTGCAGTCTTATTTCCTGCGAGTTGAAAACTGGTAAATGGAGCTGAATGTGCATGAATAGGGGTGTAAATCACATAGGGCTAATTAGCAATACATGCACTTGGTTAATATGCTGTTTTAACACCTGAGGGGGTCAGCAAGGGGGTTAAAAATACCACATCCCATGTCACGGCAGTCAACAATTGTTTTGTTGCATCCAGCAAAGAAGTCAAAACAATAAATCATTGCAACTTACTAAGAAATAAATGAAAAACCACTACAACACAACCTCTGATAATGCCTGGCAAAAGCTGTTGCTATTTTTGTCGTGAACAAGCAGTAAACAATCTCCATGCACAGTCAATATGGGCGATTCACAATAGGGAGCCTCCAGAAGTTTGCAATGCATTGACCAATCACAATGTGCGAAAATCTGTCAACTCTCATTTGAAGCTAGTGTACAGCCTTTTCGGGCCTGTGAATAAATGCCAGATGTAACTGCCCATTGGCTGTTCTACTTATATTCTCCTACACTTGGGGCATCAATTGTATGCCAACATCTAGAGGATTGAAGACACCACTTAGGCACACACGATGCAAATAAAGTAACAAGGATAGGAAAGTTGAGTGATAACCCTGCTAACTCTCACCTGTAAACTGATATCTATCGTCAAGAACGTGCACCTTGTCATCTGCATCGGTCCATCGTAAGGTGAGACCCACCCTCAACTCCTGCTCATTGGTTGTGTAGTTGTACTGAGAAAACCAACAAAGACAAATATTAAGACTCTCCAAATATTAGCCTGCATGCTGAAGTTGTCCATCATCACTTGAAACGCAAGTCTGTATTAAAATTCGCACAGCACTATTGGGACTGTGTCTGAAATCTTTGGCTGGAACTTGGAAGGACCAGCAATAATGCACGAGTCTATGGAATGACACCAATGGAAATGGTTAAATTTAGTTCCAATGGATGAAAGCATTAATGCAAGTAGTGCTCAAGATCTTCCAATGCAATCCCTTCTGGGGTTATGCCTCAATACGGGCATTTCACGATAGTGTGCCTCAAAGAGTTTGCAACACGTTGACCAATCATAGTGTGTGAAATCTACCGACCAATGCGCATTTGGAAAGGGTCAACAGATTCCACACCTTGCGATTGGTCAAAGCGTAATTAAAAAGGAAGATACAGGGTCTTTGTGTGAACAAAGAAAGGCGTTACGCTACCTGACATGGTTATAATTTGAAGCAGATACATTAGGTTTGCAAATCAGTCAGGCTTTTATCTACCAAAAGTAGACAGCCATATAAAAAACTAAGCTGAGGTGACTTCATTTGTTTGTGCACAGCAAATGGGGCACTCACTATCAAGTCAGTTCATAGAGATTAGTGGGTCAAGACCTTTGCAACAAAATTACATCTCCGTCTGAGTTCATTTTCCAGTTTCAGACTTGAGGTCTGTCACTTCATGGTTCTCTTCTGCTGCACTGCTAAGGACTTATAAAGGACTAGACCATGTTATGCATAAGAAGAATGTGATATCTAAAACATGCTGGTAAATGGAACTTACTGGCCTCATGTTGCAGGTCACGTTTGGATCACTACGTACTGCTTCTATCATTTGTTCAGTGCCCTCTACGGTAAGAGTGCACTCAAAGCTTTTCGTCTGCAAGAAATTTAACCACAATTCACTGAAGGAATAACACTCAGACAGTATCACAGACATAAGAAAATGTTCATACAATGCCTGAAAAAAAAACCTGTCATCTGACTGGTGAATTCCACATCACATGATGTTAAACATTCAAATTACGTTGCAGTATGCGCACCACAAAAACAGCACTATATAACCATGCTAGAAACATCTGTATTTTCATATAACGCCGATTATACAAGGAACAAATTAAATAAGCCGGGAAAGGAGCTATTTGTAAGACATCCAGGAATGCCTGCTGCAGCACAAACTTACATGTACCTGGAACCTGGCAACTTCATTGTTTCAAATTCATGCCAGACTGAGAAAAAAGGTGACTTTTTCACAGAAAGAACACACGCTTGTTGCATGAAGTCAATCATGAATGCTTCGAATTAGGTGACAGACTGAATGTTCCATGTCATTTAGTTTTCAATCTGTCACCTCATGAAATTATTCTTCCCATTTCGCTTGTAAACATGATTATTTTCATAATAACGACCCCAAAATGAGACCTTAAGGAGACACTCCCATAGCCCAGAGTACAAACTATGATGTACTGACTACTTCTGCTAAAAGTTGAGAACTATGTCAGTAAGCATTTCTCCGCTCCTTGACATGTTCTGGAGCCAAAATGCCTTGTGCTGATGGGTCTTGCCTACCTGAGACGGATCTGGAAGATTGGCAACAGCGACAGAAATATCTCTGCTGACTTGATTTGGAATGAGTTTCTCACTGCTTTGCTGTAGGATTTGAGGGCATGAATCTGGTCCTTCCATGGCTGTTCCTCGGGTCTGGCAAATATCAAGACAACTCGTGAGACAAATGGGTCAAATAGACAAATCTGTAAGATTTGTCCTTTACAATATACAATACAGAAAATAGATTCGGGTGATCTGACACTCCATTAGTATCATATTAGTAATCACGTAAAAAGAATAAACCTGGCGGTGCATCTCTTTATCTTTTATTTCCACATCTACGCTGTCTCGCTTCTGAATTTGCTAACTTTTAGAAGTTAAACAAATAAGAGATTAGAAAATTTTCAGCTTCAAAATGAAATCACTCAGCTTTTGTCCTCTGTTGCAAAATGCTGAAGAAAAGTCAAGGGGGAATGTTGTCTTGTCAGGAGAATTGGTGAAATTTTAAACTGAAGTGTGAGAAGAGTTTGCACTTCATTTTGAGTCTCAGTCTGTGATAGCATAAGGGAGAAAGATTGGTATCTTTCTCAGAGTATAGTGGGCATTTTTTTACATTGTTTACTTAGTATGCATTGGCGATAGCTGCAATTTAAGCATGTTTACAAAATGTTACCTAAATTTCATTTCTCAGCGATTGGGGAAAGTAATATTGTCAAAATTCAAAGATATTCCGTAACAAAAGAAATTGTCCCCTTTAATGCATGGAGGGCCAACCCACAGAACTGAACAAGAAGACAAAGCCTTGCAAGCATGCGTATCCAATTAAGTAACTGTTTGTAGGGCTGATCTTGAATTACTCGGAAAGAAAGAAAATTTACTGCCTTGGATGAATACGCTGTACAACCAAAAATGGCACAATGCATTATACTTTGAGTAAAATTCTTAAAGTGGGTTAGAAATGCCCAAATTGGACATTTAGGATTCAGATTGTCGTCTCTTGAAACTGTCATTTTGTAACCAACCTTGCTTGAGGTATAAAATGAATTGAAATTTGCATAATGTAAAAGCTATTGAGTAGCTGTGTTTGAAACTTGTTTTATTTCGAATCTGTTATCCGAGCTGAAAAATGGCATGATCTCTCGCTTTCAGACATGAAGAGAGAAATATCTTTCATACATCCAAAACAAGCACGTTCATCTAAAACCCTGAATCATGGTCAATTTTACCCCAAAAATGAAGTGTCTGATTTTTTTCTGTGGCAGTTTTCTTATTTTTGGTCCTTTCACAAACACAACTGTTTCAGTGGCCCTAATGATTTCGGAGTGATTTTGATATATTGTAGGACCACAAGAAGTCAATACTATTTTACTACTTGCTATACCCGAGTTCTACCCAAGCTGAGGGGTTTTTGTTATCATCAAAGCTCACTGAGAATAGCTACAAACAGGTTCTCAGGAGTTACACTTCTACCAGGTATGTTTGAAAACGTGTTTTTAAAATCATACAGCATTAATGTGGCAGGAATTGCAGCCCCCAACTTTTTTAAAATGTACGTACATCTATGGAATTTCCAGAAATGCCCTTTTAGATTTAATTACAAAAAAATGTGTCTTGGATACTGACAGCAACTCCATCCCTCATCAAAAAAAAATTTCAAAGAAATTAACATCAGCAGCAAATCAGCAATTAGTAAGGCATGACTACGTGGAACTTTCCTTAAAAACAAGTGATGTCAAATCAATGGCTTTAAACTCGCACACGCTGACTGACTACATCAATTCAACATAGCGATGGGTGACTCATACAGTGGAACACTTCCACTGTTTCCTGGTTCAAATTGTTTCAGATATGGATCCCATACCCACTACAGCTGATGTCTTTGCTCAGGCTCTTCTGTGAAGCTGGACTTACGTTATTTCCTGTTATGATGATTTCATTGGACTTTTGGCAGGTGGTATTATCGTGGGTGCACTTGTTTTCAAACACACACCAATTACACGCCCAGCGACTGCCAACACAGGACACACAGCTGGAATAAAAGTAACGCATCATGGGGTCAATACAGCAGTAAATTGTGACCTCAAAATCATGGAACTTTTACATCAGCATCAAACAAACACTGTATCACGACAATTTATAGATTCAAGGTACATTTCCAATCCCTTGTGGGTGGTGTAATTTTGGGCTGACAGTTTTGCCTTTGAAAAATTGCCATGTTTTTACAGGCAGCCAAATGCCATAAATATTGATTCACGAGTCATTTAAACGGTATTTGTAGAGTGTTTCCTCTCACAACCTCATATTTTTCAACACTCTTGGGCGTTCATGCAGCATCATATATTTACAACCATAACAGGCTCTGCACGCATGCCCACAACAGGCAAGTTCCAGTTCAACACAGGGTCCACCTCCACAGACTTCGCAGACTTTTTGTATGTACAAAATAAATGAGTTATTAGCGTGCTTAAATGTCAGTCGCACGAGTTGAGGCATGCTTGAAGTTTCAACCAATCAGCTGTGCACGTGAATGCAAGTAGCTGCATCAGTTTTACACATCCCCTGGCACAAAATGGTTAGGAATCTTCATTTGATACTTTTGTGCCACACGTATTTCAGTTTTCTTTGGTTTCCCTTGTTGACTATGTTTGACAGAGATCAGCATGTGATACAACACACTTACGTTTTGTGAGTGTTACATTCGTAGAAGTTAAAGTCTATGTCGACAAAGTTCACACCTGTTTCTGTAGACATGACACTCAGTAAAACCACAGCATGGTCCTCTGAATAAAGAAAATGACATCATAAAATCTCAGTAAAACCACAGCATGGTCCTCTGAATAAAGAAAACATCATAAAATTAGGACTTGAAGAAATTTTGGTTTTACTCATTAATATTTTTGGCCCAAAAAGTGCCAACCTTTTTTTCTGATTTCCCTGAGGCAAGAGATTCTCCTGAAAATCTGAACTGTTCCCAGACAAATCACAACTTGCCCAACACACAGACACCATGCTAGTGTGAGTACATCTTTGTGAATTCAATCCAATTCAGTGCAGGTTTAAATTTCCATGGTTAATTACAGTGCAAACTTATATTTGAACTTGTCTTTGTATGAGCACTATTCATTGTGCATGGCCATGGAGTATAAACATATTAACCGAACGTTTTTTCAAAGAACTGTCTTTACGGTAGAAAATGTATTACTTATGGCGATAAATATGCCAACAAATGAGAAAAACAGAGAAGAATTCAGAGAAGGAAGGCATGAAGGCTTGGTGCAATAAAAGAAAGGCGTGAAAATATTGGAGAAAATGTCAGTGTGTCTGTCAATGCATTTCACCAGCCCATTTAAGGGTTGAATAGATTATAACTACATGTTAACACAATGACATTATGTCACCATGGTACCCAGAACCATAAATGCATTTCTGTATTTGTGTTTGGACATAATCAAGATTAGCTGGCCCCCTGTTATCTTCTGACCTCCAGTTGGTATTGTGGGCAAGTTGTTTGGGGGTGTTTGGCAATCGAAGGTATCTCCGTTGTAGTTGACTGCTGGAAAGCTGAACCGATTCTCAAACCTGCACACGTACTGTTCACTGTCAAGCAGCTCTGGAAGCTGTTGGACTGTTAAAGTTATCTGCAAGCAAACAAGGAAAAGCAAAAGTAAGACAAAGAAGGAAAACTTGGTGAAGGGGACCAGAAGGCTCTACAAGCAGTGATTTCTTCAGATTAAATTGGACACTTGTTCGACACATGAATTAATAAGCTGCCTGTAAACTGAGTGAAACCAACAAATGCTTGAATGTTTTTACAAAACAATGTTATTTTAATGTCAAAAACGGAAAGAATACGTAACTTTTATTCCATCCATTGTTGACTATATATGAGAATAAAGACTGATAAAAAGCTCCTGTATATGTATATATTGGCTCGAGTTAAGACCTTTATGTTGATGAGTAAATTCAGTTTGAGAGTGTTGAAGTAATGGCCAAACTACATTCAGGGATAGGCTGTTTACATGACTGTTGCCTTCCACTGGGCTTCACATCATAATCATTCAAAAAAATCAATTCAAAGACATCATTCAAGAACATCAATTCAAAAACAAATTTCTACTCTATAGAGAAAACCTTTCTTTGTTTTTGTTAAGAACTTGTCCAGTTTTGAGAGTGGCTTATAATCTCACTGTCTAATTATCTTTGTTGTAAAAGCTGGTAGACAGTAGAAAACAGTCGCACCTTTTGATCTGTCTCAGTAATAGGAAGACTGTTATGTGGAGCAACCTGACTGATTTTGATGCACTGTGCACTATTGTAGGCCAGCCAACGTGTTGATACATCCTGCATTGGACATTCAAGGTACCTTGTACATCTAAAGGAAATGAAATACTGATACATTAGTTTTGTTTGTTGTGATCTGCAACGCTCCAAAAATTCCTTTGATTCTCCAAAGGGTCACATATATTTTTAAAAATTTTTGGAAAACACCTTTTCACAAATGTCTGGAGATCAAAGAGTTCTTTAAAAACTGATTTGGAATATTATTTTATATATATGTGAACTGACAGTTCTGCTACACTGTAAGACTGCATCATGTCACAGCCCATGTAAAAAAAATGATACATTGTACTCCATAATGTTATTACAGCGTTATTAAGTTGTAGGATTTAAAAATTCCTAATCAAATGAAAAGAGACAAACATACAAAACAACAAAATCTAACATATCTAAAGTGGTACAGAAATTGTGTTAATAAAATTAACGGCCTTATTTCGATGAACCACTTTTCAACTGCCTGAAAATGTCATTAACCCTCTGTGATTTGGTTGAAAACACAAACAATGACTTGCTCGTCCAAAGAGATCTTAGTTTCCCTTTTGTGAACATCGACATGAGCCTGTGTGCTTACATGAACACTCCAAAACCAGAAACAGGAAATTAAACAAATTCTGAGTATCAACTTCCCCTTCTATCGAATAATAATATGAATCCTTCGGGTGGTCTATGGATCAAAATGAAAGAAATGCGCAAACTGCCATGTGGATTTAGACTGCATTCTGCAGTCTTGACGTAGCATATTAGCATAAATATATCTTGAAAAATTGAAAGGATTTCCAGTGTGAAGTCACCCAATCTCATGACTCTGAATTGGTATATGACCATACGGTACAAAACATCATTTTTGAATTTAAAGTCTATCCTAACAGTTCATTGTGGTCATCAAGGCACTGAGACTGGGTTAAGAAGGGAAATTCACAAAGCATGCAGCAGATCTTGTGGAAAATACTGTGTCACCTGAGGGCTTTAAATACATGTGTAGCTAACAAAAAATGGTAGAAAGTTAAAATACAAGGCAGTTTGAACAGCTATTAAATCTTTATCACTAGGGGCCAAAACTGATGGTATCTTGGCAAATCCTGCGAATGTACACCCTAGCTACAAAGTAGCTGGCATATCTAGCTACATCATGATGAATTGTACTGGTTCCAAAAACAAGGCCATAAACAATTCTTAAAGAGTTCACCCTGGAAAGAAGGCAAATTTACCTTTAATTTGTAAAACATTTGTCCATTACGGCCCCAAAGCTGCACATGTCAAACAGCCTAATGTTTCAGTCCCACTAGTTACTTTTTATAACAAAGAAAAAACTGACATTTAAACAATACCCCACTTTTCCAGAGTGTAATGCCAAACATTTGTGATTCCGTGGAAAGTTATGATGCATAGGAATAACCTTCATGTGCCAAAAACTGACTTAATGACTGAATGGCAAATATTAAGTAGAAGCATCAGCTAATTCTTACCTTCTTTCCAGAGTGCACCATCCACAGTATGGGTCTCCATCATTCCCTGCATCGGTCCCAATACACGCCTCACAGGTGGTGTACTGACCACAGTTCTCAATATTCATTTTGATAAGCTGCAGAAATAAATGAGACAAAAAATTACACGAAATTTCTGAAACAGAACATTGATCAGCAGCTTTTTTTACTAAATTTTATGAAATGCAGTGACCTTGCTCCTGCCACGCTGATTAAGTTGCATGATAAATTAGGATGTATTTCAGAAATGTTGGGCACTGTGAAAGTCTGTGAACTACATAACAAACAACACACAAAATCTTTTTTGGTAGCACAAGATGCACCAAACAAATTGGAAATGGATGATTTTGCAAACATGCTCATTGCATTAACCACTTGCTGCCAGGTGCTTTTGAAAATGCAGCACATACATTCGAGCCATTTTCAAGATTTTCAGTTTTCGAAATTCTTCAAAAATTTTCTCATTTCATTTAATGGACATTTACACCCACACGAATGACTGTTTGGTGGCTACTGTATGCTGACAGGCACCCTCCATTGACTCCTGACTATTTCAGCCAGGCCTGACACCCTGAACCCAGAGTTGTGAGGTGTTGCATAATTTCCTTTGATCCCAGTGAATACAAGCATGGAGAGTGGCATCTTTTCAAACATGGCTGGATTTGTGTGCAGCGGTACTGTGTCGCTCATCAATGGGCCCTGGAGCACTTTTGTCCCCGGTGCTAATCCGCCGGCGCACGGTGCCCAAAACAGGGATATACTGTTTAAAAACAGTGATGGATTACCTTCGAAAAATGCAAGCTGAAGAATGAAGGCAATTCCCAGCAGCAGCAGGTCTTTTGTTCCGAGTACAGTCTTTTGTTACACGGACCAGCTCTTTTGTCCCATTTCGAGAACCCCGGCTCTGCATATAAACCCACGGTGCTTGAAATGGGGTTCCCGGGCAGCAAGTGGTTAAGGCTTACCACTGCTTAACCTACCAAGGTCTACACGATACATGCAAATGCACCTCTATATTTTGGGGCTACCCAAATGAAAACCTTGCTCAGCAGTGAGAAAAGTTTCACAGAATTACGTGTACCAGCTGCTCTATTTACAAGCTGCACATTAAAAAGTTACCGCACACAAGCAACTAGCGATGGTTGGTTCCTGGAAAGGTTGCGGCCTTTGCTTCCCACTCATGAAATTACTCACAGTTTGGGCACAAAATGTAAGGAAAACTTATTGGAGTAGATACCTTTTGTTTGGTGAGCACATACACCTGTTGTGATGTTTCATTCAGCATTGTGTCCCCCATGACTGCATTGCCATCTAATGTTACTCGTTCATAGAGTCGTGCGAGGACACTATTCTCAACATGCACCTATGACAAGATGCAAATGATGACTAATTTCACATTTCAGTTTAAACTATTTTAAAAGTACTCAGTTACCATCCAAGGGTTGAGAGATTTTCAAAAAGGAGATATTCTGAAAGAATTGCCTTTCAAAAAACATCTATGTATTTTCAGAAATGTCATTTAGTCTGTACATACTTGTAGTTCTGCAAAAATATCTGAAATGAAGTAGGATATAGAAAACATGGGCATTACATTGATTCACGGTCACGTTTTTACTTATTTTAACGTCAGTGGTTTTGTAACAATAAAAAGGTCAGTTACATATTTTCCACCAAAATTCTGCCCTTAATGGTAATACATATACAAAAAAAATGTTTTTACAAAAATTGTTATTCTAACACTGTAAAACACTGATGTGTAACATCATGGACCTTCACATGCATGTGGTTCATAGAATATTTCAAAAGGAATGAGATAGGTTTACAAGTTACTTTCAAGCAAGTACCTTTTTTTTTAATTTACTGGCTTACATGTACAAAGTGATCTCCTTAAAAGATAACATTTAAAACTTCATATAACTACCCATTTCTTGGCACTTCCAACAACATTAGAACTACAAGATACATTCCCATCTACTGAGTAGGTCCTGGTAGTACCTTTACTTGTCGGCTATCACTTCTTGTCAGCACTTGAAAGTGCATCCAAGATTTTACAAAAGCATTTGTCAGATGAACTTGTAACTAAGTTGTTGAAGTAGTGGACCGTAGGACTACCACAACATGATAACGACACCCTCAGATTAACCCTAATCACAACAGAGGGCAATCTCTGGAGATAGCTGTGGGAGCTTGCTTGTAGCTCGACCTGGAACAGTGGTCATTTGAAGGCAGTTAAGTCCCACCTCTTCTAGGGCTAGCCAGCCCCAATTCAAGCAACAATTTGCTTGTTGAGCTCCAGTTCTAGCTCAGTTGTATTTCTCTTACAACTCCACCGTTTTTCTGTTCTTTGGACCCTATAGCCCAACAACCGCCAATATTTGCAAGGAAGCCTTGAAACCCTGTGACTTGGTGAAATATCTCCAGTTTCTTCTATAAGGAGCAATTTTTAGATGTGAGAAAACTGTGGGTTTTTTGGCTTTACCTTAAAAGCAATCTACCGGTATTTGTAATTCTCCTGCTCCTGGATGATTCTCAACAACTTAAAACACGGAGCAATATTATGTAACTTGAAACAGAAGAGGGCAGGCATGCATGTAGCCTCCATCATGTAGCCTCCATCATGTAGCCTCCATCATGTAGCCTCCATCATGTAGCCTCCATCATGTAGCCTCCATCATGTAGCCTCCATCATGTACTAACTTAGATGGGACAGGAGGGTAGGGTACACTTCTTGTATGAACAAAAGCACATTTTCAATTTACCACTACCTCCACAGAACACTTCCGGACTTCATTAAATAAATTAGATTTTGCCCCAAACTTGCCGTCTCTCTGAACATAGACAAGAAACGAATGTGGGCAACCTTACCTTTAAGAGTCGTCCTCCTGTAGTTCCAATGAAAGCCACAGTGTGGTTGAGATCAGCACTGGTGATGATGGATGATGCTTGATGTCCTGCCATCCGTACGAGTGATGTGCGACGAACACGATCAGTGTATCTTCCAGTAGCATATACGTACCTGTTCCCTGCATTGCACAGATATGGGCTGCTGTCGGGAATGTTCTAGGAAAAGACAGGAACACATTTTTCTCTGTATAAAACACACAAACTACAGCTTCATTATAGCTTTCTGAAAAGGATGCACTGTGAGTTTTTGGTCTCAAAGAAGATGAATATTTCAAAACATTTATTTTCCTTTGGACTAAAATAAAATATTGCTTATTCAAAATTATGAATAGGTCATGTACATGTATACCTGGTCATTACACACTGTTCCTGAAAAAAATGGTACTTCATTCACATCAGCTTGATTCAGACACTGCCTCACAGCCTCTTTAAATGCAGCTTCAATGTCACTCATCTTGTAAACACACAGTGCAGAGTCTGCGATGGGATTGTCATCAGATGATGATGCTTTGGCAAAGACAGCATACAGCACCTGATCATCATTGTCTAACATTAGTGAATCAGACAAATGGGGGCCTGCTGGTCCAACATGAGCAGCCTGCACCAAACTGAACGTACCACTGGATCCACTGCAGTCAATAAAAATCTCTGTGTAAGAGTCAACGTCATCGGTGTTGTGGCAGAGGCGAATTAGTTTGGAAACACGCGAACGGTGAACGGATGATAAACTTTGCCTTTGCGTTGTAGCAAAGTAGGTGAATCCCTTCCAGGTAAATGCACTGACGTAACCGATGGGTGCAGGATTGGCGTCATATGAATTTGTATAGTCTTCAGTGAAACTGACAGTATCCTCACCATCAGCAAACATGAATCCATTGCCAGTTACAAGCAGTCGTCTGGTAATAGGAGGCACACGTTCATATTCTGCTTGAGGAGAGTATGATGTTGCCACATAGAGTTGAGTAGATGGGTTACCATTGTACTTTCCAGGTGCAACAATGCTTGCTGTTGATCTCATACCAAATGATACAATCAAGTTTCTCTGACTGCCATCACCGACTAAATCTCTTAGTCTCCTTGACTGGCATTGATCCAGCCTGGGTGTTTCAACAAATTCACTGCCACATGTGATAAGCCTGTCATCGTGTAACACCAAAACTTTATTGTAATTCCGGCAAGTCTCTTCATAGCACGTGGCTGTGCTTACATTAGCAACCTGCTTCAAGTCTTTGTTGAGTTTGTACAGGTAGTTCACTGCCCCAACATACACTTCTCCAATGTCCTGGTCAACATCAAAGTGATCTAGACGAGTCCTCACAATTTCTGACAGCTTGATGGGATTTTCAAAGGATGACACTTCATAGGCAGAGAGACTTCCAGACCACTCTGCGTAAACAGCCGGGAGGAAGACATTGATAAGAAGCAAGCGGAATCCCATGATGCAGAGTGGCTGAGCTCTGCCGCTGGTTCCCATGGCGACCGTCTCCTTCAGATCAATGCTGGGGTCAAATGCTGCAAGGAATGTTCTGAGCTGTGGTTGGATGCTGCCATATTAAGAAGGAGAGAGGCAGAAAACAGATTATTCAGTATTGCTATGATCTCTAATCTGAATGCGCTGCACAAATAGGAAATCAATTTAACAACTTGATGTCTGCATCCTTTTGTTGACAGAAGTAACTTTGTCTTCTTTTTTTCAGTCACCCATAACCAACCAGACAACTTGCAATCTTAAAGAGCAGCATTATTAGATGGAAATGTTACGAGATGGAACAGATATCCAGGCCTTGTTGAAGCACATGAAAGAAAGCTTTCCACCTCTGATTAGCTAAAAAAAAAAAAATTATCTCAAGAATGGGGCTCCAAGAGAAAAACTTCATGGAGAGTGTGGTCATTTGTTGGATGCCATGCGATAGCCGAAGTGTATGGTCTGTGGATGTAATCCATGCACTCATTTGGATACAAGGATGACTCATTCCTGTAATGGAATCCCCTCTATTGTAGTAATGACTTCCCAGAATTATCTTAACATCTTGCTTTTTAATTGCCATTACACAAATCTGTGACCAAGAACAGGAAGTTGGTTGAAAATGGAGAGTTAGAGGATTAAAAAGATAAGGAAGTTGCATGTACATGTAATGCTGAATTTTTAATGCCTCACAGTGATAACACAACCTCTCCTCAACATGATACATGATACAGGGATGCCCTTGTCAATGCACCCATACATATATGTATGAAAAGCTTACTTTAACTTTAAAATTTCAAGAAAGATCCACAATTTCAAAGTCTCCATCCACATTCATTTCTCTGTGAATCTTCTCCCATATGATTATGGTTGGACATTTGCTTCATAAAATTTCCAATATGCATGTAGTAGCCAAGAAGTATACTTTGTCGGGCCACAACGGCATCATTTTGGAGAAGCAAGAAACTCAAATGTGCTCTGGCTGAATCAACACGTTTTGCCCTCTCTCTAGTGAAATACAAACATCACAATTTGCTCCCAATTGGCTTTTCGGCCGTCGCGATGTTTGCTATTGCCTACATGATATAAATGTACATGAACCTGTTACTTCCTCCTTGCCCCAGTCAATCAATCAACAATACAGGCAACACACACACAAAAATACCTGTCATAATAGGAGCCATACATAGTCAAATAAAGTCTCAGGATACAGAAGATCTGCTTGACTGCTCATTGCAGTGGATATGGCGCTCCCAGTTCAAACCAGGAAATAAAATGCATAATCAACCATCATCGCTGTAAACTGGAATATTTTTGAACCAAACACTGATTTAAACTTCAAATGTTTTTACACTAAGATTCAAGCCCACAGCAGGGGAATATTGGGAGCTACCAGCAACACGACACCGCGAGTCATCGATTATCTTTTTACTGTATTTGTCATCCACCGCGGTGATTATGTTTATCTCTAATATTGGGAGAGTTGTAACTTCCTGACACTTTGGACCAGCTGCTAAACTACATGTCCCTTCAAAAAAAAAGAAAGAAAACTTTTAAGCCTACAAACTCAAGGCTTCGCTTTCAATACACCCTTGCAGTTGGTACTCGGTACAAAGGTTCTTTGATATAGCAAGAAACCAATGGAAAAAACAGAGAGCAATCCCTCTATTTAACCATTTCACAAAATCTTTAAACACAAACATGTTATGCCTAAATCTGTATCATTTATCAAACTCAAAATCTGCATGTATTTTGTAGGGCCATTTAAGTTGGGGTTTTTTTATTGTGAATGAATTCTCCTCAAAACAAGGCTGCTATAATTTTTTTACTTCCTCACAGTTAATGCCAGTGGTCTTTCCATTCAATGATCGCGTACATATTTTCCAGCATTTTATCAAAAATAAAATATCACATGCGTGCACGGGCATAACTATGAGGGGGGGACACGTCTTTCCCAGCAGATGCCCATGCCCACCAGTACCCCTTCCCCCATTTGAAAACTCCGAATAATCTCTGTTATAGCGCACGTGCAGCTTGGTTCTTGTGGTACCCGCTTGGCAAAATGTGAGCACTCCTGGCCGAGTGCCCCCCCCCCCAGAAATTGAGCCCTAGNTTAAGCCGCTTCTTGCATGCTGGTTGATTTACAATATTGTCCATTCCTCATCTACACCTATATCTGCAACTCAGATGCCATAACGAGGCTTGTAAACATGGAGTAAATGGAGTTTGTAATAAATTTGAACTACAAATTTCTCCTCTCCAAGCATTTTCTGAAACCCTGCATGCATGCATGTACGCACATTCCATGGTGGTTCAAAGATTTGGGTTCCATAGAAAGCCAAAACACATGCTGAATATTCCTTGGTATGTCCTGCCTCAATTAAGACACAAGAAACAGTTGGTGCATGTATAGAAACTCCTACCATTTATGAATTCTCTCCATAATCACGTTACTGGATGTACTTGTAGGTAAAAATCTAATTAAAACATTTAGCTGTAGCTCTGTTCCTTGCTCTATGCTCAAGTATATTTCCCACTAGAAAAGTGCAGTTTTTTGGAGGCCAAACAGTTGGTAGCCCATGTTGGATTTTATGCTTTGTTTTGTTTTTACACATTAAATTTGTAGGGATTGTAAATTTGGGGACCCTGTTCCTACAATAGAACAATAGAGGGGGGAGCTACATTGACGTTTGAATTCACCTTGGGAGATGACTGTGACATCATGCTCAATAACTGTAAGGTTCATGTTGTCAAAAAGGGTAAGGTTTTGAGGGAAATTGTGAGGGGAAACTTGAGTGTTTTAGCACATGACACATGGTGGATTCAAATTTGCATGGTTGGTTACGGGTAGTTTATCAGTAAAAAGGTCACATTTTTCACAGTTTACAATTTTCAAAAAATAGGGTCAGCACAATAAAGAGAGCATTGCCTTTTTTTGGGGGGGGGGGCTTACCAGTTTGCAATATAACAATGTCAAAAACTGGGATGTCCCCAAGTATACAATCCCCAAATTTGTGGAATGACACAGAGTGTCAACTGTCATAAAGTTTAATCATGGTGATTCTACCCTTATGTCCTGAGTACTTTTAGAACTCCAAGTCACTAACTCCATCTTTGATACTCTGTGTCACGGATGGAGTGACTTAGAGTTTTCAAAGTAGGTCCTGAGGTAGCTCTACTGAGTGGAGAATACTGTCAATCCTGTCCAAAATAAAAAAAAGAGGAATAGGCCTACTAGCGCTCCACTCAGTAGAGTACTGAAGCACGTACAACTGCAGAATTTGAAATAATGAGTACTGATGGATATCGTGTACCACGTACACACAGTGGAGTCTGTGCCCCCCCCCGGTGTCCCCCCCCCCCGGTACATTGAGCTGCCGTGCCAGTTGACAAGAACCATTCGTTAATTAGCAAAAGACCACCATCAAATCTCACTAGTGATAGGTGTTTTCATGTGTTTTTTTTTTTACAACCACTAAATTTTTCAAACATATCATCTCCCTAGACATGCTAGATAGACAACGGCTAGCTTGGTTACTTACATGATATATGAAACTCACCACCTAACAGCCTGTGTTCCTCTCTCTATGCGGCGAGATTCCCAGCAGGAATCGGTAAGAACTGAACGTAAACTCGAAGTCGGCTCTGTTTGCTGCTAGTACAGCGACGTTGACGCATCACGTTGCTTTAGTTTTGATCTTGTGTGCACCACCTGTACAAAGTTTATTTTTCGACAAGTTATTTCCGTGTTACGGTGTCCCCGAATGGCCCCATAGTCAAAGGTTAAATGGTTGTTTTACCGGCCAGGCGGTGTGGACGGTCTGTGCCCCGGTAAACTGCCCGGAGGGACAGAATTACTAGGTAAAAGTGTCCACCTGTGACCTGGTAAGTCAGTCCCCTCCAGGTAATATTACCCCCCTCTTTTTGCCACACAGAAGTTGTAATTTTTGTGTTGGGTTGATGAATTCAGTCCACGTGAAATACAGTTTTAGTCCTTTTCAAGCTGTCAAAAAGGGGGGGGGGTGTATGAGATGTAAAACCAACTGAGCTATGTTTCCGCACGAAATCGGAAACGGTAGCAATCCGTAGGGCGTAAATCACTCAAATACAATTCAATCGCCGGGCATTCAAGAAAAAGCGTGGTGCCAGTGTAAACGCTGCTCGAAAGCAGTTGAAATAAAGTGATTCACAGTCTGGTTGAAAGACTTGTGGCGTTCCACGGGGGCACATTTCCCAGTGGGACAAATTTACTGTCATCGTGGACACTTTACCGGGGTGCGATCCATTAAAAGTGCTGAGACACATTTACGGGGGGGGCAGTTTTTACCTTGCACACCGGCTTTGAGGCACTCCAATGAGCGATTGTAGAAGTTTTGCATTTCTTTAACATGTAGAACGTTTTATGTAAAATGTAATTATTTTATGTTGAAGAAGTTTCAATGCAGAAATCGGAACACAAATCATTTTGGGATTTGATTAGAGTGGGAACGAGCTTACCGGGTCACGCATGGTCGTTTTAAACAGGAAAGAAAGTGAAAGAGGGTTAGACAAAATTATTGAGAATCGTTTTGTTCCCCTTTCAATAATTTCAGTTGCCATTCGGGTTGTATTCAAGGGGGAAAATGGTTCGTAAAGACCCATCATTAAAAAAGGCTGTTTTCTTACCGCTTAACAGTGGGTGTAAGGGATTTGTCCTATGCCCCCTCCCCGCTCAGAATTTATAGAAGAAAAAAAATCTGTTTAATAGTCTGCCTTTGACACGTTTCATTTGTGATCGAACCAGAGCCGTTCATATTGCTGCGACCATTGTCACCATTTATTGGCACTGCAGCGTCACCATCAACTTGAAGCCGGAATCAAGTTGTGCGTTGTATTCGTGGGTGCACACACAATGTTGGTATACAATAGGCATATACGCTTTAGTGTACGNTGAAGCCACTTCATGCATGCTGGTTGATTTACAATGTTGTCCATTCCTCATTTACACCTATATCTGCAACTCAGATGTCATAACGAGGCTTGTCAACATGGAGTAAATGGAGTTTGTAATAAAGTTGAACTACAAATTTCTCCTCTCCAAGCATTTTCTGAAACCCTGAATGTATGCATGTACGCACATTCCATGCTGGTTCAAAGATTTGGGTTCCATAGAAAGCCAAAACACATGCTGAATTTCCCTTGGTATGTCCTGCCTCAATTAAGTCACAAGAAACAGTTGGTGCATGTATAGAAACTCCTACCATTTCTGAATTCTCTCCATAATCAAGTTACTGGATGATCTTTACTTTAAAAAACTGGCATTTACCATTGAACTTGTAGGTAAAAATCTAATTAAAACATTTAGCTGTAGCTCTGTTCCTTGCTCTATGCTGAAGTATATTTCCTACTAGAAAATTTTACAGTTTTTTGGAGGCCAAACAGTTGGTAGCCCATGTTGGATTTTATGCTTTGTTTTGTTTTTACACATTAAATTTGTAGGGATTGTAAATTTGGGGACCCTGTTCCTACAATAGAACAATAGAACAATAGAAGAGAGAGCTACATTAACGCTTGAATTCACCTTGGGAAATGACTGTGACATCATGCTCAATAACTGTAAGGTTAATGCTGTCAAAAAGGGTAAGGTTTTGAGGGAAATTGTGAGGGGAAACTTGAGTGTTTTAGCACATGACACATGGTGGATTCAAATTTGCATGGTTGGTTACGAGTAGTTTATCAGTAAAAAGGTCACATTTTTTCACAGTTAACAATTTTCAAAAAATAGGGTCAGCACAATAAGGAGAGTATTGCCTTGTTTTTTGGAGGGGGGGGGGCTTACCAGTTTGCAATATAACAAAGTCAAAAACTGGGATGTCCCCAAGTATACAATCCCCAAATTTGTGGAATGACACAGAGTGTCAACTGTCATAAAGTTTAATCATGGTGATTCTACCCTTATGTCCTGAGTACTTTGCGAACTCTAAGTCACTAACTCCATCTTTGATACACCATGTCACGGATGGAGTGACTTAGAGTTTTCAAAGTAGGTCCTGAGGTAGCTCTACTGAGTGGAGAATACTGACAATCCTGTCTTAAATCAAAAAAGAGGAATAGGCCTACTAACGCTCCACTCAGTAGAAGCACGTACAACTGCAGGATTTGAAATAATGAGTACTGATGGATATCGTGTACCATGTACAAAAGAGGAGTCTGAGGCCCCCGGTGCCCCCCCCCCCCGGCACATTGAGCTGCCGTGCCTGTTGACAAGAACCATTCGTTAATTAGCAAAAGACCACCATCAAATCTCACTAGTGATAGGTGTTTTCATGTTTTGTTTTTTTTACAACCACGAAATTTTTCAAACATATCATCTCCCTAGACATGCTAGATAGACAACGGCTAGCTTAGTTACTTACATGATATGTGAAACTCACCACCTAACAGCCTGTGTTCCTTTCTCTATGCTTGAGAGCGGCGAGATTCCCAGCAGGAATCGGTAAGAACTGAACGTAAACTCGAAGTCGCCTCTGCTGCTGGTACAGCGATGTTGACGCATCACGTTGCTTTAGTTTTGATCTTGTGTGCACCACCTGTACAAAGTTTATTTTTCGACAAGTTATTTCCGTGTTACGGTGTCCCCGAATGGCCCCATAGCCACAGGTAAAATGGCTGTTTTACCGGCCAAGCGGTGTGGACGGTGAATCTGTGCCCCGGTAAACTGCCCGAAGGAACAGAATTACTAAGTAAAAGTGTCCACCTGTGGCCTGGTAAGTCAGTCCCCTCCAGGTAATATTACCCCCCTCTTTTTGCCACACAGAAGTTGTAATTTTCCTGTTGGGTTGATGAATTCAGTCCACGTGAAATACAGTTTTAGTCCTTATCATGCAGTCAAAATNCGCATTTTAATAAGCTTAAAAAAGACAGAGAAATGCGGAAGACCAACAAATAATTAGCAGAAACATTGGCTAGATCTTAACTTTCTATTCAGAGTGCACCAGCAACCGCACGGGTCTCCATCAGCAGGTTATGACCGCAATTCTCAGCACGCATCTTGAATGACACTTTAAGATAAAATACTGCAACAACAACCAACAAGATACTTCAGCATACTGAAGACATTATTGAATTAACTGTTGGACACAGTTCACCTTTTGTTCCGTGAGTACAAAGACTTCCTCTGCAGTTTCATTCAGCAGTATATTTCCCATCACTGGATTATCATCGAGCGTCACTTGCTCGTACAATCGGGCAAACGTTGAATTCTCAACGTGTACCTGTAAAATAAAATAATTCAGTATTCAGCACCGCACATTACCATACTATACTATACCAAGGCAGTGGAACAGTCGCGAGGATATTATGGGCATTTAACCTGCTATCAACTGACTCGAGAAATTAAATTTTCACAGAACGACAGTAAGGCCAGCTGTTTGAAACATTACTCATTTACTTCAGTGTGCGTGAGAATAAAAGGCGATGCGATCTTCGATGCGCGCATGAGATTTTCTCAATGTATACACAGAACAAGGGAACCTCTCAAAGCCAAAATTAAGATTTAACTTTTTTCTTTTTGTTCTCTTAAATATCTTCAAAGTTCCACGCTCGGATTAAATAAGAGCAGTTGCATGTTAAAATTTTAATCGAAAGGTAAAATTTACTTCGATTTTACTTACCAGACACTTAAATCTGCAGGACGCTTGTTTGTCATGTCTTTAATACACAATGGACTTTATCTTAGTTTTGAGGGTGTTAAAACCTCTTTTTTCAGTTGAACAATCCTTCCAGCTGGATTTTTGATGGTGATTTCCTTGACAGTTTCTGTGTCAAATAACGCTGACACAAAATTCTAAAAACTGCAATTCAGAGAAGGCCGAAACGTTGTGTGGGAGTGTGCGCAAACTTTCCAAGTTCATTTCGTGGACTTCTTTTGTGCTCAAGTCTACACAAAGCGAAGAGGTACCAAACTCACATGCGCATGCGTCAGCACCGCCTACCATGTGAACTTGCCCTTATTTTTGTGCATTTACGAAAATTAAGCCAAAATGTTCAGTGTCCTTGTAACTTGATAACCATTTCAAGCTAAATTTTCGTTCACTTTTTTTTCTAACAGTATAACCCCAAACGCCTCCCAACCTGTTGTTCAGAGC